ATTTCCTATGGCTGCTGTTCCCCTCCCTTGCCCCCAGCAGAGCGCCTTAGCTCTTTTCTGGTGCACAGAGACCTACAGACAGGCCCCCTCTGCCCCCATCCTCCTCCTCCAGCCGGCAAACTCACCTTCCTCACTGCCTGTCCTTACCTGTTTTCTGTCTCTCCCAGAGCAGAAGTGCCCCCTCCTTACTGCCCCCCGCTGACCCTTCGGTCCAGCGTGCTCTGTAGACTCTCCTCGCGGCACCACTGCCGAACCTCTGCCTGGGCAGCCCACGGTTCCTGCGTGCTGCACCCAGTCCTGACCTCCTTTCCTCAGGCCGTGTTTCTCCACTGTTGACTGAATGTCCTCACTCACATACCGGATGCTTCCTCAGAGTCAGCGTGTCCGTCCAGAGCTGGCATCTTTATTTCTCTCTAAAACATCGACTCCTTCCCATGTTTTCTCTGTTTCGCTGAGTAGCACTAGAATCCACTAAGTCACCCAGCCACGGGATTGGGTGGTTTTTTTGTTTTTCTGTTTCTTGGTTGGTTGGTTTTACCTCCTTGAATCGTTCTAGAAGTGCACTGGTCGGTACACTAGCTACTGGCTACATACAGCTATATAAATTTGAATTTACATTGGCAAAAATAGAAGACAGTTAAAAATTCAGTTCCTTGAGTATAGTAGGCACACAGCAAGTGCTCACGAGCCGGGTGTGGCCATAGCGGACAGTGCTGACCTAGGCCGAATGTTGCTGTTTTCGCTCCCGGTTCACTGTGTGTGCGCCTCATCGTTTCTCACCTGAGCTGTCGGTACCGCTCTTGACTCACCCCCTTGTTCTTCCTCACTCCAGTCCCTTCTCTCCTCTGATCAGTGATCTTTATCAAGCCCTTCTCTCCCTTTGAGAGTCGTTGAGGTATAAATGAGAGAAGCAGAGTTCTGGCGTTTTAATGTCATTTCCTTACTTGAACCCCTCAGAGCCTCCCCCACTGCCCTTTTCTTACTGCTTATTGAACAAATACTCAGCCTTCAAGATCGAATCCCAGTGTTTCCTGCTCTGGGGAGGCAGGGGTGCGGTTCCTCTCACACTGGGACACTTGCCGCCCCCGCCCCTTCTCAGAGCACGTTTGCTCTGTGACGTGGGCTGGGCTGTGAGCCCCTGAGAGATAAGAGACTCCCCTTCATGCTCTCCCAGGTTTGCAGTGTGTGCAGGAGATTAGCTTCCCTTTTGGCATCTGCACAGGTACTGGCTACACACTAACTTTAGGAGGAATGAAAAAATGGTCTTTCAAATCGCATTCTGTGCTGTGTTGAAGAATTCCAATTGAGAAAGGCTGCACAGGCTGGTGAATGACCTTCCCACAAATACTGATTTTTTTTGCTTACGAGTAGCTGTTGTTTCTGCCTATCCCCTGACTCTAAACCATGTATTTTGTAGAGAGAAACATATGGAGTGGGCAGAAGTGGGTTTTCAGTTGTTCATATGGAAAATATAATAATAAGAATAAACTCTGTGTTTTGCTTGCTCACAACTGTGAACCTACCTTTGTCCACCCTGTACTTTCTTCAGTAAGATATCTTCCATGAAAGATGGGCAGCCCTGTCTGGTGTGTCTCAGTGGGTCGCGTATCACACCACAAACCAAAAGGTTGCTGGTTCAATTCCCAATCGGGGCACATGCCTGGGTTGTGGGCCAGGTCCCCAGTTGGGGGCATGCAAGAGGCAACCAATGAATGTTTCCCTCCCTCCCTTTCTCTCTTCCTTTTCTCACTCTAAGAATAAGTAAATAAAATCTAAAAAAGAAAAAAGAAGGTCAATATGTGAGTTAATTAGCTCCAACTTGGTGGCTTAACACAGCAGAAGTGTATTCTCACAGTTCCGGGGCCCACAAAATCGAGTTGCTGGCAGGGCTGTACTCCTGCCCAAGCTCCGGGTCCTGCTGTTCTTTGACTGGTGGCCAAGCTCTGCCTCCACCTCTGCGTGGCCTCCTTCCCTGTGTCTGTCTCCAGTCTCCTCTCCTGTTCCTGGTGAGGACCCCCGTCATTAGATTTAGGGCCTACCCCATATTCAAGGTGATCTCATCTAGAGATCCTTAATTCTTAACTCCATCTACAAAAACGATGTTACAAAATAAAGCCACACTCACAGGTCCTGGGGTTAGAACCCAGGCACATGTCCTGGGGAACACAACCTAACCTGTGACCATCGAGTGTAAAAGCGAGGATCTAATGGCAGAGTGTGTCTTCCCCTCCGAAGCCTCACCGAGGCTGAACCGACAGACCACAGCCTTCATTTCTATGCATTTAGTCATTGAAATTAAGGACACCCTCCACCACCGACCATGGCAAAATCTAGAGGGGAAAGAAGGCTGTTTTTACCCTACCTCTGTCTTTCTCTCCTTCCAGGACAGAATCATTGCACTCCCTTCATCTGGATTTTTTTAAGTGTCTAACAATGATCAGTAATGATAAAGCATAGACCAGAATAAGCATGCTTAATATCCTTCAGTTTTCAGAGACATTCTCTGGGTCCAAAGCTTTTCAAATGGAAAGGGATAGCCCTGGCCAAGTGCCTCGGTTGGTTGGAGCATCCCATGCACCAGAAAGGTCCTGGGTTCCATCCCTGGTCAGGGCACGTACCTAGGTTGCAGGTTTGATCCCCAGCGGGACACATGCAGGAGGTAACCAATTGATGTTTCTTTCTCAAAACAATGTTTTTTTTCTCTCTCTCTCCCTCCCTTCCTCTCTCTTTAAAATCAATAAACATACCCTCAGGTGAGGATTTTAAAGACTAATAGTAAAATGAAGGTGGATTATTAGATTTCGAACTTACCCAAAGCATACATGCCTGTGCGCAGACATGCTGTAGAAATGGCTAGACGTGACTGTCTCTGTGTAGTGAGAAAGAACATAGGTACTTCGGCTGTGTTCATTTTTCAGTGTCATCTCAATTTTCCACACTAAATGTGTTTTGTTTAGTAATTAGATGAACTTTTTTTTTTAATTTGGAGAGTTTTAATGAAGATTTTGTAAATCACCCAGGATCATTTGTATTTATTTAAAAACAAGATGAGTGGACCAGTTGGGATTCTAGGACCAGACTGCTGATTGTATTGCAAGTGACTCAGGCACTCTTTAGATCTTGGAGTGGTGTTAACGTTGTTCACGATTCAGGACCTCGTTAGACTCTCGGAGCAGAAGAAACTGAGATCCATGGTCTTCACCAGGGAGGTTGCCCGGTGCCGGGAAGCCGGCCTGATGGGGGATGTGGGCCCCCTGCGCAGCCCTGCTTCGCTGGGAGGCATCCACGCGGTAGCCGTGCGTGGTTCCTGGGGCACCATTCCACAGTGAGCCTGCACTGTCTCACCAGCGGTACCGTTCGGCTTTGACAGGTGTGGATTTTCTAGTCTCTAAATTCTTTTGGGTCAGCCCTGTGTCTGGCGCGTCACAGGAATGAAACGCGCTCCCATCAACCCTCAGTCACCGGAAGAAGCCTCAGCAGAGCATTAGGCACCTTTTAGCTGTTTCACTATGAATGCAGTTTGTTCCGAGGGGATTTTCCTATTTGGCTTGTAATATGTCGATGAATTATTGAAATTTCAATTACTTTTGGATCCCAATTTAGCAGGATGGAGACATCAAGAGACTTCATATGAAAGCTTTCCAGTCGCTTTTAGAGAAGGGCTTGTCTGGGGGTTTTGGCGCCGGGCTGGCAGGGGTGAGAGGCTCTGCTCCTCCTGGGTCTGGGACCAAAGCGCCACCGTGGCCTTGGAAGTCCCTTCTGTCAGTGCTGCTCCAGGTGTGGGCCCCTGGCTGGGAGCACCGCTGTCTCCTGGGAGCCTGTTAGGTATGCAGGTTCCTGGGGTTTTTTCCCCCATCTACTCAGCATCCCTGGGGCAGGATTCTGTGTGTTTAACAAGCCTTGGGGCATTCTGGCAGGCCTACAAGTTTGGAAGCCCTGCCTTAGGTGCCCTGGGGCTAATTTCTTCCAGCAGGGCCTTCTACCCATTTGTAAAAGTCCATGTGTACTGTAGTCAGCTTGCCCTTTAAGCTAGACATTGTAGCCAACAATCAAGGTCATCAAAAAGGGCAATTTCTACCAACTGCCTTCACTTGGAACACTTTTCCCTTTGTCACTGAGCCGTAACCATAGAGAAGCAGGCATTGAAATTCTGTGCAGGTTAATGTATGTTCTACAAGTCATTCAAAGAGCCCTGTCTTTCATTGTCACACAAAAGCACTGTTTAGATATTCTGTCCCACTGCCCCAGGGATAATCTCATCTCCAAGTCTCTGGGGAAGAGCTGCGAGTGCCCCCCTGTCTCTGCGACTTAGCCTCGCTCCTGCCAGTGCAGTCTCCCTCCCGCCCCACGCATATGAATGACCTGCGGTTCCTCAAACCCAGGCGTAGCCATGATGCCTGTGCCCTTGTGTGCGCTGTCCTCCCCAGCCCCGTGCCCCACCCCGCCCCCAGCAAAGCCGGCCCTCACTCACTCTCTGACATGCCCTGTTCACCAGTAAGACTGCTCACTGCCCCCCACCTCCTTCCCCAATCCTTTCAGATGGAGACGTGTTCTTCCCTCTTCTGCTGCCTACACCTCTCTGGATAGACACCGCCCGACAGCACTTGAGGTACACTGGGCTGGAATTACTGGTCTCTGAGCTCCGAGGTCTGTAAGAGTGGAGATCTTATCCAGGCCTCTCCCTCCATCTGCAGCGCCCAGGACAGTGTCAGGCGCAAGAGGCTGAATGAACAAACATTCGTTAAAGATGCCATTCCATCTCTGCTGGAAGCTTCCAGTGCCTTAGATAACATCTTCATGTCATATTTGTGGAAGACCAATGCCAGCAGGCAGCAGGTCTAGTTTAGAATACACAGACATTTACAGGGACTCAACCAACTTAGCTTTTCAGTAAGGCTGACCTTTTAATGTAAAGCAATGTCCTATCATCCACGTATCTGGCTATTTTTCTCTTTGACCACGGAAACCACAGGCTGTGTCTAAAGGCCTTGTTATTTCAGGTTCGAGAGCTTCAAACTCGACTGCAGAGTGTGCAGGCCACAGGGCCCTCCAGCCCTGGCCGCCTCACTTCCACCAACCGTCCGGTCAACCCCAGCACCGGGGAGCTGAGCACGAGCAGCAGCAGCAATGACATTCCCATCGCCAAGGTGAGCAGCTGGGGACAGCAGGAACACCTTCCGTTTCCGGGAAGCAGGGCCACTGTGCAGGCATGTGATTAGCTCAGACGGCCCCAAGGGGCTTCCCCGGGGTCTCACACAGGCCTCCTGTGCTCGAGCTGCAGGGAGAGATAACCCACTAATAGTTTTAAGTCTCTTTCAGCAGCAACCTGGGCTCCAGCTCTCATTAATCAGCCGGCTGGAGTATGTCACAGCTGACAAGTCACTGTGGAGAGTGAGACGTTCTGTCAGGTTCAGCAATACTAAGGGATGGATGAAGAGGTGCTCCCAGGGCTGAGGTGCAGCCCAGGAGGGGACGCGGAGTGATGAACCATGATTTCCCCACTCCTTGGACTGCCAGCCCTGCCAGCAGAGAAGTAGATATTGATGTCCAGGCCGTGGCAGCTGGGAGAAGCAGCCCCCCCCCCCACCGTTCTTTGCCACAGCCCCAGGCTCCTCTCCCCTGGCAGCCACACTGGTCTCCACAGAGAGATCCGTTCTCAGCCGTCAAGTTCAGCGAGCCAGTGTTTCCCAACCAGAAGTGATTTTTGTCCCCCAGGGATACCTGGCAGTGTCTGGAGACGATTTTGATGGTCACAGCTGAAGTGCTACTGCACCTTGTGGCTAGAAGCCAGGGACACTGCTGGACGTCCTGTGACATGCAGAATAGCCCCCACAACGAAGAATATCCAACCCAAAATGTCAGTGGTGCTGAGGGGGGAAAAACCCCGGGTTATGTGAAGGGTATACAAATCAGACAAGTGAGTTGTTTTTAAGTTGTTAACCAGTTCCGTTGCCATGGTGAACCGGTAGCCCTGGGTAAATAATGTGAATGGTTTATCTGTGGAGTGATACGTCCTTTTTTTGATAATTTGCTGTTTTGCTTTTTAAGATTGCCGAGAGGGTAAAGCTGTCCAAGACCAGGTCCGAATCTTCATCATCCGATCGACCAATCCTGGGCTCAGAAATCAGCAGCATCGGGGTGAGTGTCCATGAGAAGCAAGGCGAGAACGTTCCCACAGAGTGGCAGGACAGTGCCCGGGAGATGATGGAAGAACTTCCCAAGTTCACCTCCAGCAAACCCGTTAATTATACTAATAAATCACACCCAATTTCCTTCCAAAGAGTCAGATTAAAATGTATAGTGTTTTCCACATGGTGAATTACTTCTTTAGCTTTAAGGGAAACATTTTTCCTCTACTTGAAGCCACTCAGAGTGAAATGATTTAGGTGTAGTTGCTGGTGACGTAGATTGAAGTCTTGAACTATCTGCTTTGTGTCACCCTGCTCCCCAGAGACTGAGTCGGGAAGCTCTAAGAGAACTTCGCCTTTTGCACACCCTGCTTGAAAAGCAGCGTGCTGTCCACTGGGGATGGATGCTGCCTTTGAAGTGTAGCCCAGTGCTGCGACGGACCAGAACCTTCTAGCCTGGTGGCAGAGTGTCCGTTTGTAGAGCCTGCGGACCCCCTAGGGGTGTAAGCTGGTGGATAGAGGAGAGGCGGTAGTTTCGGTTCCCTGGGGAACCGAATACCTTTTAGGATTGGGGATGAGGTTAGAAGGGCCAGCTGTGTGATCTGTAAGGCTGGAGAGAGCCTGAATAGCGCTTTTAAGGCCCTAGTTTAGAATTCTGCACTGAGCAAAAGTTGCATGCATCCAGATTCCATGCCAGATTTAAGTTATGAAGTTAAAGGATCGGCGGTTCTCCTTGGTTATAGCAGCCAGAGACAAGGGCCTGGAGTGACAGGGGCTCAGGAAGGGGAAGGGAGTCCAGGCTCCGCTCCACGTCCAGAGCGTCTGTATCGGAAGAACGCAGCTATGATTTGATCCTGTTTTTGTATTGCTTTCACAGCACACAGTTAGCTTTTTGTGCTAGGATTGTACAAACTGAGAAAGATCAGGGTAACCATCTCCTGGTGCCCGATCCTCGGGAATAGAAGCTTTGGGTTGTTCTGCATGCACAGCATGCCTGGGGACCGGTGTCCCTGAAGCGACACTGTCCAGAGGGGGACTAATGCTCACCTGTGCAGGTATCCAGCAGCGTGGCGGAACACCTGGCTCACTCTCTCCAGGACTGCTCCAACATCCAGGAGATCTTCCAGACGCTCTACTCACACGGGTCTGCCATCTCCGAAAGCAAAATTAGAGAGTTCGAGGTGGAAACAGAACGCCTGAATAGGTAAGGAGAAATCCCGTACAGCTGAGTGGTGGTGGGAGCTGCCCTCCCTCCCCTTCGCGAAGATCGATTGGAGCGGGCTCGTGCGTTGTGACACAGTGATGCTGTCAGGCTGGCGAATGGGAGTTTGCACCGTCTCGCTCATCTCAGGGACTTACAGCAAGCAGTCAGGGCTGGTGCATGGGTGGGAGACCGGACTCGAATGCACAGGGCCTTGTCCTTAGAAGGACCCCGCTCTTGCTCTACTGCTCCTCTCTCACCGTTTTCAATTCTTAATAACTTATGCACTAGGGGCCCCACTTTTTCACTTGGCACGTCCCTCAGAAATCGTATTGTAATTCCTGGAGCAGTTCCTATAGACTGACAAGTAGTCAGGATGACGAGATGGTGGCCACGCGAGCAGCCCTGGGCTGCAGAGAGGAGTCGGGACGTTGAGTCAGCGTCCTCGGGGAGCCCGCGGGCCCCAGGAGCCGGCGGAGGCGGCCTGATGGAGGCGTTCCTGGGGCTGAGCAAGCTGCCGGTCGCCTGATGTCGTTTACGGGTTTAACAAACGTGCACCACTCTCAGTTCCTACAGGCTGCGTTAGTTAGAATAGTTTTACCATACACCCAGTTTTACGGACACTTTTCCCCAGGCTCCTGACAGAAGTCGTCTGAGTTTGCCCCCCGCCTCTGGGCAAAGCCTGGCTTGTGTGTCATTCCAGCAGTGAGACAGGGCTGCTGAAAAAGGCAAGGAAGGAGCAGGGCCAAACCAGGCAACTGCTGTGACTCAGCATCGCCCCGCAGCAGCAGCGTGCGTGCGGGATCTATCCCGGTGTGGCGTGGCTGCCCTGACCCACCGTGCCTCAGTGGCAGAGCACAGTAAGGACTGGAAAGGCTTGTGATCTCACCAGGGAGAAACGCAGATGCCTTTCCCCACGCACCACTGCTTAATGCCATTCCCCTGGTGTGTGGCAAACCTGAATAAATTGAATTACTGTGTTAGTCCTCCCTGATTTGAAACTATTTAATACAGTGCTTGAGAACTAAGGAAACGTGGCAAATCTAGGTCATTTTAAATCTTGAAATTAAATGGTTTCCTTATTAAATCCAAAATACTTAAGAGTGACAATCCCGATGATTACCTTGCAGCGGGAAAGAGCGGCCCTCCGAGTGCTGTGTCACGAGCTGCGGAGTGCCTAAAAATGGGGGCAGACGTGCCCTTTGTAGTTTAGTGAAGTCGGATGCCTTCAGGGGCCCTCCGTGTAGCGGGGACCTTCCTCTACAGACTCTGGGATCTAACAGGCCTGCTTTGTAGCTGAACTTGGGGGAAGCTCCTTTCTCTTCAATTATGTGCACCTCGGAGAGACCAGAGCAGGGGGAGCTATTTGGGGCCTGCAGCGCACTGTGGTGTTGAACAGCTTACCCTTACACAGGGCTCTCACAGACAGCCTCTCGGTCACCCACGTGGGCGGGCAGAGTGGCAGCCCCATTTTGCAAAGGGGAAAGCAAAGGCTTCCACAAGGAGTGACTCACCCTAAGTGCAGAGCTGTTAATTAGCCTGGCCGAACGTCCAGGCCCCGCCCTTTGACCTTACCGCCATTATCCTCTCTGCGTACAGAGCTGCAGCTGCAACATTGGAATCCTTAGAAATAATCTAACAGGATGCCTTCACATCTGTTATTACTTAACTACCTATTGCAAAGTTGGAGGCCTCTCACACTCCAAAAAACGACAGCCTTTAACTTTGTGTGTCGGGGGTGGGGGGAGAGCAGGGTCATAGTTAATTTAAAATGCTTCTTCATTTAACCACTGTGTTAAGCACCTACTATGTGCTGGGCTATTTGGTGTGCAAAGGGAAGTAAAACAGACAAGGTCCCTGCTCTGATGGAGCTTGTGTTCTCTTAGGGCACTAGACAAAAAACAAGATCATAAGAAAGCTCCAGGTAAATAGGACACTGAGGCAGAACAACAATGAGGGCTGATGTTTCCATTGGTAGCCGGGGAAGGCATCTCTGACAAGGGAACATTCCGGTTGAGATTTTAAGGGGGAAAAGGAGCACCCCCGTGACATAGTAAGGATTGTCTTATGGGCCAACTTGTCCACCTCAAGGCTGGAAGGAAGTTGGCGTGAAGCAGGGACCGCCCAAGGCCGTGGAGCTGAACCAGAGTGAGTGTGAGGGGGGCTTCCCAGAGATCAGGTGGCCCGAGAGTCAGGGCTGGGGGGGGATGTGGACTTGGAGGCCCAGGACAGACTTACTCTTCATTCTACGTGTCATTCGAAGTTGTGAAGGGGTTTTAAGTAGAAGCAGCAGATCTGATACAGATTTCGAAAGATCAGGTGCAAGGTGCAAGGAATGGAAGGCGGCGGGGCAAGAGCAGAAGCAGAGAGGGTACTTGGTGGACCAGCGTGGCCGAAACGGAGATGATGGGGAGTGGCAGGGGTCGTCAGTGTTCACTGGCGAGATCAGCGGAAGGAGAGGAGGGGGTGGTCTCAGAGAAGATCCTCGGGTGACCCACCTTAGGGTTGGCTACGTGCTGGTGGCATTGACCGAGACGGAGAAGGTGGGGGAGGGCACAGTTAGGGAAAAGTCAAGAGTCCCACTCAGGAGTGTTAAATTGGAGGTGTCAGTGTGACACCCAAATCGGAAAGTCAGGAACCCTCTGGGTGTGTGAGAGTGGCACTCAGAGGAGATGTCCGCACTGGAGAGATTCGGGAGTCTTGGGAACATAAGTGCCCGTTAAAGTCATGGCACTGGACAAACCTCACCCCGGGCAGGGGTTCGAGGGCTGGGGGTGTTGACAGAGGGCCAGGGACGGAGCACTGCAGGGATGCCCACACTCACAGGCTTCGTAGATGGTAAGGAGCCAGCAAAGGAAACAAAAGAAATGGCCTGTAAGGCAGGAAGAAAACCAGGAGAGACCTGTCGTGACCCAAGTGAGGAAGGAGTGGCCCATTCAGGGGGTGTCACCTGAGAAGGCCCCTACAGTGGCTTTGGCCACACGGAGGTGGTGAGCTGGGTAAACCATTTGATCTGATTAGTGGGGACCAAATGTTCGTGGGAGCAAGTTGAAAAGTAACGAGAAAGTAGGAACCATGTCAAGAAGCCATAAGGTGACAGGGACAGAGAAGGATATTCCGTAACACCTTACATTGAACTGACCTTGAAGTTGTCTAAGCCTCGCAGTTGTCATACACTCAGCATCTCCCATGAGGGGGCGTGTCTCCATATTCTGCTCTCTAATGTGTGGTTGTAGGATCGATTCTCAAGGCTAATGGCTTCTGAGCTGAACATTTTAAGTGTCACTTGCATTTTGTGTGTGTGAAACCATCTCTCTCTTTAAGTCTTGGAAGTCAGAGTTCTGCAAACGAGTTTGTCCCGTGAAAAATGAACCCCGGTACCTTGAGGATCAGGGTCCTGAGACAGAAAATGAAGCAGCAGAAGGCTTGTGTTTTTCTGACTTTGTCATAGGCCCGTCGGCTCTGACTGGGCAGTTCTTTCTGGTTCCTATAAAGCCTGATGTTCCCACTGCCAGTCCTGCCGGTGCTCAGCAGCTGCGGGAATGTCCGACCTGGAAGGAGCCCTGGACACGCTCCGAAGCTCCTGGTCCACTTCCCATTCAGAGCCTGTGGGGCAGTTTGCATTTCACTCACTAATTCATCTTTTGCTTCTGCTCTGTAGCTAGTGGTTAAGAGCACAGGATCTGGGGGCCAAACTGCATGGTTCAAACTCCAGGACAAGGTGTTTAATCTTCCTGTGCCTCTGCTTCCTCCTCTGAGGAATGGGGAGAATAACAAAGCTCTAAGGGCTGTTGACAGGGTTATCGAGCACGGGCTCGGCGAATAGCAGCTGTGACTGTGATGTGCGTCTCGTTGCCCCCTAGCTCCTGAAGCATCCCAGTCGCGCCGTTCACAGGGCCTGAGGTCGCACGGTTTGCTGCTCTCCCTGCTTTATCCCCAGAGCACATGGTCGGTGGCTGGGTGGGAAATAACTGGGTAATTCACACAGAATTCGGTGCTTTTTTTTAAACTTACAGTTGCTTCCTTTATTGTTTCGTGTTTCAGTTACATTTGTTAAAATATCTGACAGACTCATTTCCTAACCTGCATTTCCAGCCTGAATCCAGATTAGACCACTAAAATATCGGCAAGTTATTTGTGATCCTAGTGTGAAATTGAGATTTTTCTTCCTTTGTAGCCGTATTGAACACCTTAAATCCCAAAACGACCTCCTGACCATAACCCTGGAAGAATGCAAAAGCAACGCTGAGCGGATGAGCATGCTGGTGGGCAAATACGAATCCAACGCCACGGCGCTGCGGCTGGCCCTGCAGTACAGGTGGGGCTCGGAGGGGCGGGGCCTGCGTCCCTTGGAGCCTCAGTGCATCCGCAGTAACCTTCTGCGTAAAGTAGAACGCAGGCTGTAGAAGGCATACTGTGGGTGGGCCAGCAGATGCGGGTGTGATACATATTGAAAATCAATGACCACCCTTGTAGCAATTAGGAAAACTGGAGTAATGACTGTGGTGTTAGTAAACAGGTATGTTTATGCCAGTGCGTTCAGCTGAAATATTATTTCACTCGGGTCACATCACTCAAAATATCAGTCTTTTTATTACATATTCATTTGTGGCTCTTTCCAGTATTTGTTCATATTCACACATATTTTACATTGTTACAAATGTAGTGCGTTCTATTTCTTCAGCATTTTACAGTTTCGTGATATTGCTTAATAGTCTCCATTTATTTAGAATGGTCATATCCCCTGTACCAAGTTTATATATTGTTCTTTTATTTACTCATTTCTCTGAGAGACTTTTTTCACACTTTGACATGGAAAATAATTCTTTGGCGAATAATTTAATACAGGTAATGTCTTTATTCTTTCTAATATTTCCCTCGGGAGAACATCCCTGCAGCAGGAATTATAGGTCAGAGGACAAGAATATTTTCATGGCTCTGGAGGCGGCTGCCAGCCTTCCCCCTAGAAACAAGCCCATTTCAGTGTCCGAGTTGCACTCACTGGCGAGCAAGTGGTATATGAGGGGGCCCCTTTTATTTCTGCCCCATCAGCGGAGTTTATCTGTTTTTAAATGACTGCTGTTTAAATAGCTGGAAAGCTCTGCTTTACGACTGCTTTCAGAGGGTTATTTTATTGGTGTCTCTTCTTGGGCGTGTTTGCCAGGCGCCCAGAGTAGTGACTGAATCTCGCTGTTGGCGTCCTCTAAAAAGTTCAGTATTGTTTCAAGAAACATTGTTTCTTCAGAAAACAAAGTCAAGCCACAACACACAGGACCAAAGCTAGAGAGCAATCACACTTGTTTACAGACACACCAGAGCGAAGAGATAACCCGACTTTGATAACTCCGGGAGCAGGCTGCTCTGCACCCACACCTGCCTGTCTCCCTCGGGCACGAAGCAGTGGCCCGGCGTCTCCAACCTGATAGGCGGGCCGCCCTGGAGAGGAGCCACCGCCCGCACCCAGAGCTCTCGACTCGGCCCTTTTCTTTATGTCTCAGTAAAGGAAGATGAAAGCAAAGGCAATCAGAAAGCAGATGGCCTGATGACTAAATGCCAAGCTAGGCGATGTTTCCCCCACTGAGCTGGGAGAAGCTAGTGGGTAATTTGCTTCGGGCGGGGGTTCAGTGCATCCTGTCTGGGACCGTGCAGGCAGCATGCGCGTGCCCCACCTCCTGTGTGCACGTGGGTCCACGTGGGGGCCCCAGTGGCGATGAGAAAGGGGTCGCTTTTCATCCTCTGCCTGGTGTGCCCATGATGGTGGGCACGGAGAAAACTAAGGTTTTGTCAGAGAGTTTGTATTTCATGAGACAGTTTGACAAGTGTCCACTAGAGGGGTAGGGATGGAGCTGTTCTCTGTCTGTGCCGTCACTATAGCTGCTGCAGCTGAGGAACCGAATTTTTCGTTTCCTTTAACTTGCATTTTTCCACGTAAGCAGCCACATGTGGCTGGCTAGTGGCTGCTGTGTTGAACAGTGCAGACCTAGATCAAAACAGCCTCCTTTCTGGGGTGTAACTTAGTTAACTATGATTGTACAGCTATTACTATGTCACAGTTTTTAGGGTCAGGAATGGCTGTGATTCAGGGTTCTGGTGAAGCCGTCCACCAGGACTGCAGCATCAGAACCTTGAACCGCACCGGGCGGGCTCTGCTGCCGAGGAGGCTCATTCACAGGGCGGTGTGGGCGAGTCCTCAGTCCGCCACTGGCTGTTGGCCAGAAGCCTTAGCTTCCCACCCCACGGGTCTCCTTGGGGCTGCTTGAGTGTCTTCACAAAAGGGCCTCCTCTGAAGAGGGTGCCGCACCGGGAGGGTGCAGGGAGAGAGTGGCCGAGACGGAAGTCACAGAGCTTTTAACAACCAGTCCTGACGGCGACGTGCCATCCCTTCTGCCGTGTTCCTTTGGTCGCACAGACGTGCCCTGGAGCGGCGTGGGTGCCAGCACCGCAGGCTGCAGTGCCTCTCCCCTGCAGTGCCTCGTGCGAGGGCAACCAGCTTGCCTCTCCCACGTGGATGGAGTCTTGTGTTTTTCTAGATGCAGGTTGAAAGCGAAAAGGCAGGGCTGGGGCACAGCTCAGCACAGCATGTCCCCGGCTCTGTCCAGGGCATTTTCTGCGCTGACAGGGCAGCGAGGCTGAGAGGCGGGTCTAGAGGGGGCGGGGGCGGCCCCGCGGTGAAGGGGCTCCCGTGTCTGCCCCAGCTGAGGCGCCCGTGCTTGTTTCAGTGAGCAGTGCATAGAAGCCTACGAGCTCCTCCTGGCCCTGGCTGACAGCGAGCAGAGCCTCATCCTGGGGCAGTTCCGGGCGGCTGGCGTGGGGTCCTCCCCGGGTAAGTGTGGCCCCAGCCCCCACCGCCTTCCTCATCCCGTCCCTAGTCTCTTCTGCTCTACTGCCCCCATCTCGGCTGTGGGCATCGGAACACCTCCCTGCAACAAGAAACTCACTTCTCACGTGCTTTCCGTGTTTCCCTCATGACTGAGTAAATTGTTTATGTTGAGTGCAGCAAGAACTGGAGTGGAAACAGAATCACAGATAAGCCCAAGCAGACCGGCCCTCTCAGGAAGCACATCCTCCCAGGCTGGCAGGAGGGCCAGGGGGGGCGGGAGGCCCTGGTCGCAGACGGGAGGGGCGGGCTGTGCCTCGGCCTCTCTGGGCTGCAGCCCACCTGGCCTTTGCTCCTCCCTTGTTGGCTGTGCTTTTTCTCCAGGTTTCTCCCTGTGGGTAGTTTTGAAGCGTGCGTTTCCTCCTGCCTTGTCTGCAGGCGTCCTGTGTGCACAGAGGAACCGGTTTCCCGCTGCTCTCAGCAGCTTCCCAGAGTGCTCCCCCCACTGCCCGGCCTGGAGGCCTGGAGGCGGGGCAGCGATGTGCACCCGCCCCCCAGACTCCCCACCCTGCGGGTCCAGGTCCTTTTGGCCTCATTTGTTCCTCCTGACCTGCCCTGACCTGCCCTGCCCCCCACTTCTGTCCCTCAATTTTAAGTAACTCGAGGGAGGGAGTATTAATTGGAAAAGGCGCAAGTGTGGCACCCTAATTAGCAACGTTTGCTAAAAAACTTTGCTGGCAGCTGTGGCCCTGGTCCTTGCAGCAGCGGAATCTGCAGCAGACATGGTGCACGAGGAGAAAGGGAGGCCGAGGGGACAGGTTGGCTCCTCAGTGCTGAGGCCTGGAGCCCAGTTTTATAATAGCGGCTTCTTTGGAGAAGTAGCACCAAGTAAACAGAAATCTGAAGTGACTGGATCACTTCTTAGCCAGACACGGGTGCTGGTGTGCATAGGCCAGGGGACCTCAGACATAAGGACCAGGCCACCAGTCAGAGACTGGCTTTTCTTTTTTTAAGATTTTATTTATTTATTTTTCAGAGAGAGGGAAGGGAGAGAAACATTGATGTGCAAGAGATGCATTGATGGGTTGCCTCTTGCATGCCCCTAACTGGAGACCTGGCCCACAATCCTGGCTTGTGCCCTGACCGGGAATCAAACCAACAGCCTTTTGGTTCAAAGGCCAACCCTCAGTCCACTGAGCCACACCAGCCAGGGCAAGGACTGCAGAGCAGGGATTGGCTTTTCTTTAAGAGAAAGGAGACATGCCTGGCAAAGAAGGGCACCATCAGGGCACCTCCGAAACGAGTGCCCCCCCATCTTTGCCAGCAGCTCCCCCCACTCTCGTCAGGGCTCTAGGTTTTGCACGGAACATGTACATATTTTTCCTCCTTCCGTTTTGACATGTGCAGGAATCTGAAGCAAGTCGGAAGGAAAGGAAGTGTCCTGGATATTAATTTCCTGCGTCATATCCAGCCTGTGCAGCGGGGCAGCAGGCCCCCGCGTGTGCGGGTGACCATCCTCCACGCCTGGCTCGCTGTTTCCTTAATAGTGTTGCCGTCTCAGCCCAGAAGTAGAAACTCTGCCAGCATTTCCATTAGAAACCTCATTTTTCAGGGTCTTTTAACTGAACCATAAAACTTTATTCCTCATATTAAACAGATCCTAAACTGATCTTGGCCTGCTGTCAAGTTTTTTAGTATCTGTATTAAGAAAACCGATCAATTAAAGGGGAAAAAAATCAATCATCTTATTTCTAATTTGTATTGGAGGAATGTTTTAAACCACTTTGTCCTTGAAAGGTACCTTTTATTGGGCTTGTGTCTGCTCATCGCAGTGACTTGGTAGGGGCTGGAAAATATTTTATTTGTGGAAGGAAGGAAGGCACAGAGGTTTTGAGAGCAGTGGCCCGAGGGAGGCCCAGGAACCTGAGCCTGTACTGCCCGCCCCCCCAGGAGGCTGAGCGCTGGCTTACTTTTCAGCCCTTCCCTGTAAGCCTCACTCTCCCATCCTGCTGATAAGACCCGAAGGGCCGTGTAGTTGCACGGCAAAGCAGTGCTGGTTTGTGACATTTACCCATAGTGCCAATTATTGTGGGTTTTTCCTTTGACTCTGGTTGACGGCACCGGCGCCGGGTAAGTGCACTGTGGATGTATGAGACGGGTGGCTTTTGAACTGTGCCCTGGGTGCTGGAGGGGTTTCTCTGGGCCTCCTCGGTGGGCCTGGAGGGTGGGGCAGTCGAATGCATGACCCACCCCTGCCCACTTCAGCCCGTTCCACATTTACTATTTTTTTATGTTGGGCTTCAGTGTAAGGTTTTCATTGACGATATTTGGAAGGCCGTGTGCATCTAGGCTATAGAGAAAGCAATCTGCTTAACTTGTCAGACGACCACAGTTTTTAAAACGCCATCAGAAGATGAAGCTCTTGGGCAGGAGGTTGGCTGTCTGGCTCTGGGCCGCACCCTCCACCCCTGACCTCTGGCTGCAGCCCAGTCACTTGGCCCCTGCAGGCATGGGAGCTGCCACAGCCACAGCAAACCTGAGACAGAGAGGTTATGGATAGAGGTTATGGATATGCATTTACAGAAAATGCAGGGCCGATCTAAAGTTCTCACTTTAACCATTAGGTTTGTCACCATTGCCTACGTGAACCTCTGACCAAAACCACAGACTTGGGAGCCATAGCCCAGTTTTCCCTCAGGCTGTCCCTGCCCTTGTTCACAAGGAAGTGCCCACACAGGGAAGAGCAACCAAGCAGTAAGCTTGTAATGGATGGGAGGAGAAGCCCGGGGCCTGGATAATTAGAAAATCCTAGCATGTTAGAGCTGAAAACAGGCCTCTGAGGTCACATTGACCAACCCTTCCTTTGTCGACGAGGCCGGTGGAGCCCGGAGCAGAGGAGTGCTTTCCTAAGAACAGCCCCTAAGTGACGCAGCCGGGCGCAGAGCGCGGCCATCACCTGCTGGCTGCTCTCCACCACGCCTCCACCGCCCCTCCAGCAAGCAACCGAGAAGTGATTACCCACACCTGTTCCCTGGCTTGCCTTACCTAGACCTGTGTTCATTAATCCATTGCCTTCTCACAGGAGACCCGTCAGGGGATGAAAACATCACTCAGATGCTCAAGCGCGCGCACGACTGCCGGAAGACGGCTGAGAATGCGGCTAAGGCCCTGCTCCTGAAGCTGGACGGCAGCTGCGGGGGCGCCTTCGCCGTGGCCGGCTGCAGCGTGCAGCCCTGGGAGAGCCTGTCCTCCAACAGCCACACCAGGTAACGCTCGACCTGTCTGCTGTGAGAGGGGCACGTGTCCTGCCGTCTGCTCACTGGGCTCGACATGCAGGGGGACCCTGCTCTCGGGGCCTGGGAGGCTTGGCCTAGGGCAGAATTCTGCCCAGGACTGCGACCTGCTCCATCCAGGGAGGAGGTGGAGAATCAGAGTGGAGAGCTGGAGACGCCTCCTCATTGGTGGAAACTGCAGCCCAGGGAGAAGGGGAGGTTTGCTCAAAAACAGTGGCAGGCGTAGAAGCCACACCTTCCTTCCTGCCGGGGGCTCTTTCTCCTGTTCTTCTTCTGTTCTCCACTTCTTCACAGTTCTTCATTTCCTAGAAGCATCCGGGGCAGCTATTTGCTGCAAAGGGTCCCTGATCACCCAGGGCCCAGACCACTGCGTCCCATCCCAGCCTCTGTCTCTGGTCAGCTCTTCCCAGGCAGTAACAGCCCCTCTGTCTCATCTCTGTCTCATCTCCGTCTCTCTGAGTGATGCCGTATTCACAGCATGTGCTTAACACACACTTAATCATGCTCCTGAGTTCAAGTTTGTGAATCTAGAAAGCTGAAGCGAGTTCTTAAAAAAGATGAGAGGAAAGCAGTGGAGACCTGCTAAGTATAATTTGCTGGAGCTTTTGGATGCTTTTCAATGGGGGTCAGTGAAACCTGTCTAGTGATCTCATTTCTTGCCACCAACGCCCTAAATATGTACATGCCTTCCATCTATATACCAGACTTGGTCTAGGAAGTACGTTGTTAGAGACTCTTATTTGATCACCAAATCTGAAAAGATGAGAAGGGTAGCTTGCTCCCATTGTCACAGGGGGAAATCCTTGGCGTAGAGATATGTAAGTAACTTGCCTAAATAAGGTCACGGTCACAGGGCTGGTAGATGAGAGGGGCATCAGGACTTGAACCAGGACGTCAGCACCGAACATGGTGTTGCTTCCACGAAACCAGGGTGGATCTTGTGGCACCGACTCACGGTGCCTCCTTGCAGATCAAGTGACCGGAACCACGCAGGACAGCTTAACTCTTAAGAGCTAAAGGAGAGATACTGATGTTTTCCTGGCACCTGAAAGCAGTTTAACATTTTCATCTGTCCCACTGGCAGGACACAGCCATCTGCTCAAGTGCCTCCATTTACCTGTCCTGCACCTGGTGCCTCAGGAAAGACGACGTTCCTATAACGCGCTTGGCCAGGTGCCTGCAAACACAAGGGACTGATTTTTCTCTTGACCCCAGCAACAACTGTCTTATTTAGGGAAGCAGAGATTATATATTTTTTTTTCCTTAAAACCAGATCCTTATGTCTGAACGCAGAACGCGGTGCTCGTTCTGTCAGTGACCTTGTCCTGTTGAGTGGGGGAGCTCAGAGCTGGGTTGACAGGAAATGGGGGCTGTTTCAGTAGCTTAGAAGGTGAGTGTTGCAGAATTTTGCTCACACCTTCCCTACCCTAAAAATAATTTTGTTGTTTTAATCCAAATCAGAGACAAATTTGGTAGGAATGGGAACTCGCACCATCCATTCAGTGGAAATGCTGGTTTTGAATAGGTGTTAGAACTCCTTCAACTTACGGATGAGCCTTGATTTTGAGGCAGTTTTCTTAGACACTTTTAGGTGAAGCATCTCTTCAGCTTGTGATCAATTCAGCACCCGGCCTCCACTTTCAAGGATGACCTCCCTGAAGAGCGGCCCTGACTGAGCGGTGGTCTCAAACGGGTCTTCCCACCAAAGCACACAGGACTCTAGCTCAGATTCCACTCTGTTCTCCTTAAAAATTCACTTCCGCCCTGCCACCCTAACCCGAGCCACAGGGGCCCAGGAGAGCGCACGGGGGCTTTCACGCACATCCCACCTCCGAGGTCGTGGTGCAGCTGGACGAGGTCGTGCCATACACGGGCGCAGAAACCACCAGCCCCTCTCGTAACTGTCATAATGCATTTTGTCTGCAACTGTTGCCAACCCAGTCCACACAGTCTCCCATGTCAGGTTTATGGAAGAAAGAAAGAAGAGGGGCTTTCTGAGTTGGAGCTTCATGTGGCTCAGCACATCTCCCCTCGGCCACTGGAACCAGTCTAATCAGAGAATGAGCCAGCTGTTCCTCAGGGCTTCAGGAAAGGAACGCTGAGTCCCAGGCCCCTGGGGCCCTTCTAGCAGCACACGGACAGCTCCTGGTGATCAGAGGGCCTTGGTTTGGGAAAGGAGCAGAAAAGTAGTGACCAGCAGGAAGAATCAGACAGGGCGGCCAGCCCGGCCGCGGCCTCATCCAGAAGGGTCATCGTCTTAACGGGCAGAGTGACTAGCTCGTGTTGATGGCCTGGATGTGTTATCAACAGGATCACCGCAGACAGGCAGGTGGACTAAAATGTTGGAAACGGGAATTCTTAGTCGAACCCACTCTTTTTGTCGAGCGTCACAGTTTGCTGGGCGGGAGCACAGTCACTGACCCCAGCCTACGAGAGGGCGTGTGGTCCACGCAGAGTGAGCTGCCGCAGTCGGCCCTGCAGAGACGAGCGCGGAGTCCCGGGTGTCCTCCCGTCGGGTGGGGACCAGGGGGGCCTGTGCGAATGGGGTTGCAGTCTGTGGGGAGCCTGGGCACTGCCCGAGGGCCAGGGCACCGCCGGGCTGACCATTGACCCCGGGGCGTGTCCCAAACTTGGGACAGAGGGCATGTCCCGAACTTGGGATGGAGGGCAGCGGAGCTTGAGGCGCCCAGCCCTCACCCTCTAGGCTGGTCTTGATTGAGAAGGAGTTTCCTTGGGAAAGAAAGAAAGGTTGGGGACAGCAGGATCATGTCCACTGAAAGGACAACTGGGTTTAAAACAACCCTCCAGGCAGGACCACCACCACCAGCAGCTTCAGGGACCAAAAGTGGGACCATATCTGGCTGGTCCGGTCGTTGTCTCTGCTTGCTCTGGGAAACACAAGTCCTCCCCCCACCCAAGTCTTGGCGTTGATACTTAGAAGTGTTAGTAGATTCTAAAGTCCGGCTCACACCCCGTCCCCAGCGCGCCAGCCTGGTGCTCAGGCCACCCGCTCGCATGTCCTCGTCACTCACCTGTGAGGTTCTGCGGGAACTGGGGAGAGAGCTGACATGCATTTTTTTCTTTAAGACCTAACTGCCTGACTTCAGAAGAATGAAATGCTCGTTGTAAAAATAAATAATTGAAACCAAGCATTACATAAAGTTCTCCATGGTGGGGCCCTCGCTGGGAAGGACACTCACACAGTCTGGGGAATATTTCCACAGACCAAACTGTCCATTTCCTGTCAGTGAAGACCCCTGGTTGCCAGTGACAGAAAGGACCAAACAGCTGGAGCAAAGAGAGGTCTTGCCAGAAGGACATCCCTCGGATCAGCCACACAGGAGCTGCATCCGAGGCCGAGCCGAGGCAGACAGGCCTGCAAACAGCCGGGCCAGACCGCGCCCAGCTGTGCGGCCCCCGACCCCCCACACTCGCTGTCATCTCCCCCCTCTGCAGGCAGGCTCCCGACGGCAGGTCACCAGCACAGCACCCGCATGTGTGCGCAGGCTGGCTGGTTTCCCTGGTGTAGGGCACAAGATCCTGGAGGGCACATCTTACCCAGAGAGGCCTGAGTGTCTCCCCCTCCCCCGCGGGAGCCCCACGGGTGGCGACGAGGAGGGTGGCCCCAGAAGGAGAGAGGAGGGGTGTACTTGGCTGGACAAGTGCACTCACCTGGCGTCTCTGAAAACAGGACCCCGTGTGGTTTTCAGGCTGACGGGGTTCCTGTCATTCGGACTCTCTTGAAACTTGCTTTCCCCTTCACGTTGTCTGTCGGACCTCTTTCCACGAGTCTTTCTCTTCAGTGGCTGCACAGTTCTCCTTGGGACGGCACTCCATTGTGCATTGTAACAGCCTCCTCCGGGCCCTCCAGTGCAGTGTCCACGGGGCCAGTTCTGAGGAGCAGCTGCGCCGACTCAGGACTGGTGTCCAGTGGCCCTCCGTGCAGTCCGGTTACTCTGCAGCCTGTCCCTCCACACCCTCACTAAAACTGGGCGCCATACGTTTTTTTCCCATTTACTGGTGTGCAGGAAAACCATACCCTTTTAATTTGTATCTCTCAACTATTGGCGACGCTGAAAATAATTTATAACATTTAATTTTTCTAATGCCAGGAACATGGTTAGCAACAGTGTAGCTGCCCAGCCTAATAGCGCCCGTCTTGGTGCATTACCAGGGACCAAGCTGGGAAAGGGCCGTGTCTGCAGACTCCCGGTTCCCAGCGCTGTGCACTGGGGTCTTCAACAAGGGCTGCGGAAACCAGACCCTGCCTCCGCGGTGCCTGGTTTCTCACGTCGACTCCGCTGTCAGTGGGGTCCTTCAGAGTTTTCCAGCACCGGGCAGTTTTGGAGGACTCTGGTCCTCTGGCGGCAGATGTCCCCGCACTGCATTTTGTTCCATGATTTCCCTTCAGCTGGCCTCCACCTGTCCTTTAGAGAGTTCTGATAACCATTCGAGAGCATTACAGACCTCAGAAGTTTGGATTGCGTTCAGTGTTTTTAGTCCTCTGTGACACAGCATTGTTGAGGCGGTGGCGGAGAGCAAGAGGGTGGGTGGGCACCACCGGCACAGCACTGAAGACACAGCGGTCGGCAGCGTCCACCCTCCTGCTCGGGGATTGGAGCCACTCAGGAGTGGCAGACGTGGCCAGGTGTCACCTGGGCCAACGCCTTCTCCCATACATTTAAGTGGTTAGGAAAACAGAAGGCCAGTCTTGTGGCCCTTTCCATCTGGAAATAAACTGCTCCCCAGTGCAATGGGATCCTGGCTGAGGTCAAGGAAAACAATAAAAACCAGGAAAAATTCATCACTGGTTTTCAAGGCAAAGGAAATGCCCTTCTAGCACTTTACCAAGAGAAGATGAGGAAGCTCAAGATTCTAAAATCAATCAAGATGTTTCTCCTAAAAAGCCGGATAGGGAATCGTCTTGAGCACAACTCCAAGGATGGGGCACAGTGGGCAGGGACAAGGAGGATCATCGAAACCAACGGTGACTCGAACCCACCTGCACCCACAGCTCGTTGTGGCCAGGACCCTGGCTGCAGACCACCTGGGTGCACTGTGCGGAAGAGCCGCCTGCGTCTAAGTGACAGAGCAAAGCCACGTGAGGAAGCTCAAGCAGAGCATCCTGGAAGGGATGCCCCATTGGCCGGGCCCAGAGCCTCACAAAACCAGAGCAAAACACGAAAGTGCACATCTCCACTGCCCTGGGTTTGTCCGTCTGCAGCCCTTTCCACAGCCCCTCTCAGAGCACGAATGGCCACCCACCCTGCCAAGTGATTTATTCACTCTTGACAACTGAGATCATCCAGCATTCCGAGCCGGAGAGTTAATGGATGACTTAAGCCTCACCCAGTGCTGGCAGCAAGCCCTCGGGAGACCGGCAGCGCCTTTGTCTGCAGGAGGCCGGAGACAATGCCTCCGTTTTGTATGTGAGGAAATGGATACGAGGGTGAGTTGTGTTCCCGCCACAACTACGAAGTGTGTAAGGTGCTGGGGTCCAGGTAGAGGTGGTCCCTCTGTACTGGGTTCTCCAGAGAAATGGAACCAGCAGGCTGTGCGTGCATATGCACGTGTGTGTGTGTGTGTGTGTGTGTGTGTGTGTGTGTGTGTGTGTAGAGAGAGTGACTGATCTCAAGGACTTGGCTCATTTGCTATGGGAGCAGGCAGGTGAGCCCAGACCCAAGAAGGGTTGGCGTTGCAGTCTCGAGTCTGGAGACTGGCTGGAGGCAGAAAATTTCTTCTCTCTTTGGAGACCTCGGGCTTTTTTCACAAGAATTTCAAGTGATCAGTCCCACCCACCCCCGGGAGGCTAACCTACTTCACTCAGAGTCCGCTGCTGTAAGTGACGTCCACACCCAACACGACCTGCACCGCAACCTCTAAGCCGTGGGCACCTCAGCCTCGCCCTGCTGCTGCCTGGAATTAACTGTCACCACTTCTGGGGGGGTCGTGTAGTGGTCAGCTGATCTTGCCCACTCCGTCTCTGTGGCCGTCCTCCCTGCCTGGTGGGGTAAAGGGAGAGGGAGCAGCCCCGAGGAGTTGCTGGTGCTCCTGTCCTAGTAGGAAGGAGTTCTGTGACACAAAGACCCCTCCAAACACTAAGGTGTTCTCTTCCTCATGCATGACCGGCCTGGTAACATGTCACACACAGAAGTGGCATTCCCTCCTTTACACCTCGGTCATGGGGACGTTACACCCACTGAGTCGGAGGCCTTGTCACACCTGTCTGAGTGTAAGCGGAGCTGGAGAGGCCTGGGCTCCGGGCAGCCAGCAGCCTGTGGATGTCCCTCCCTCCTTGCTCCTAGCACAGCTTCATGCAACGGGGGTCCTGGGAAGACGGGCTGTGGACAGAGGGCCGTGTGGCCTGAGCCTAGGTGTCCCAGTTTCCAAATCTGTAATGACAGAGGTGATGATGCCTCTTTTGAGGGGAGTTCAGTGTTCATCTGGGAGCTCTGCCCGTCTTTCCCCAGCCAGTTCCATGAGGGTTGCGTCGATCACAGGCGGGTCCGGGGTGGGTCCAGAGAAGCTACGGTAGGTCCACGCTGGCCTCGGATGCCCACAGCCAGGCAGAGTGGGCCTCGTTCTGGGCCACGGAGGCTGCCCGCCCGCTGCTGGAAAGGGCAGGGCCTCCTGAGAACCGCAGGGTCGGTGCTGCGGCAGCGTCCGCATTTCACTGTCCGGGTCCCACGGAACCTTCACGGGCCACCCCGTTCCTGGGCTCAGCCTCGGGTCGGGCAGCACCTGCCCAGTCACCATTCACTGTGGGTGGCCAAGAGCCCTGGGGACCAATGTGAGTCCCCATGGTGGACCCTACACTCACCTGTGATCCGGGGGGAACGGCCAGGAGGCCCTCGGCACTGGGCTCCCTGCATAGTCCTGGCGGTGGTCAGTCCCGGGGTGGTCAGTCCCAGGGTGGTCAGTCCCGGGGTGGTCATGGCATGCGGCCCCGCCCCTGCCCGCTCTGCCCACGAGGCGGCGCTGTCAGCCCCCTCCTCACGGGGTGTGCGAGCCTATGTGAGTGTGCTGTGCACACACACACACAATCTATAGGTCGCGCCTTAGGTATTCTGTTTTTCAATTTGCTTTGTCCCTTAACATGCCCCTTTCTTAAAGTCCTGTCTACACATATACTTATTTTTATGGCTCACATATGCTTTTCTATCCTGTTTTCTCACTTAAAATGCCTCCACCACTGTCATAATTAGTACTCTAATGTCCAGTAATTTCCCTCCTTTTGCCGTGGGCTCTAATTCACTAAGTGCTCTATCCCGTGAACCATCCTTGTATGTGTGTATCTTGTTGCTCTTAAGAAATTGTTTCCTTAGAATTCATTCCATGGGCCTGCATTGCTGCGTTAAAGGGCGTAAGTACTTCTGTTATCCGTCATACTTTCTTCCTAGAAGGCCGTGTCTAGACTGCTGTCTAGTTACTTTGGGACTGGGGTGTGGGAGTGAGGAGAGGGCCTGTCCCGGTGACTTGGAAGTGCAGGGGCTTTCTCTGTCTCCCTCCCCAGCACCACCAGCTCCACCGCCAGCAGCTGCGACACGGAGTTCACGAAGGAGGACGAGCAGAGGCTGAAGGACTACATCCAGCAGCTCAAGAACGACAGGGCGGCAGTCAAGCTGACCATGCTGGAGCTGGAGAGCATCCACATCGACCCCCTCAGCTACGACGTCAAGCCCCGGGGAGACAGCCAGCGGCTGGACCTCGAAAACGCCGTGCTGATGCAGGAGCTGATGGCCATGAAGGTACTCCTAGGGCAGGCCCGTCCGGAGCCCAGTTTCCATTCACCCCACTGTCATCCGGAGGGGGCTGCAAAGGGCCCTGAAAACAGGTCAGCCGATGACGAGAAGCCAGCCCCACTCACGCTCCGCCGGCTCTGCCCCGGGGAAGGCCAGAGGCTCATTGCTAGATAAGGACGGTTCCAACGTGCCAGGGGTCACTCGGGCTGGACGTGCTCCTGGAGGCTCAAGGTGAACTCTGGGGACACTCGAGGTGCCAGCTTTGGGGCGTTTCCTCCTCCAGGAGAAGCCAGCTCCGACCTCTGGAGGCTGCAGCAGACTCTGTCTGTTGAAAAGGACCCTCGTTTGCAGAAGCTTACAAGTGCTTCTCGGGCCTGTTCTGAAGTTAGGGTGAGGCCAGGTGCAGATCCGGGGGAGAGCCCGGTTTCCTGACACCCCTGTCTGTGCCTTCAGCACTGCAGGGACCCTGCCTGGATCATGGTGCCCCAGTGAGGTCTGGCAGTGCCACTCAGAGTAGTTTCCTGGTAAGAACCTGGGCAGAGTCTCTGCTGCCGTCTCTAGTGCGCAGAGGCCAGTGCCTCCCACTGGGAAGTGGGCAAATTGCCACGTCCAGCAGGTCATACTGGGCTCATTTCTGGGTAAGGGGGCCAGGCACTAGGCCTTTACCTGCTGCGCGCTTTCTCCACAGACAGCTGTGGCATGGTAAAGAGTGTGTCTGGTATTTGTTCACAGTTGCTGGCATAGAACTTCAAAAACCCTTAAAATTTTCTGCGTGGCAGGAGGGTCTCGGTTGTGCTCATGAGGTAACTTGGCAGCCCCCAGATAGCTTCTGGATGGGGGTGGTCTCCATCAGGACCAAGCGTGTGGTTAGAGGGTTGACACTTTCACCCCCTTGACCTCCCGGGAGGGGAGGATGGCTACAGATTGAATTCCATTGTGTGACCAGCGACTTAATCAGTTGTGTCATGGCACCCCAATAAAAAGCCCAGACATGCTTCCGGGTCGGCAAGCACATGGGCGCGCCGGTGCAGTGACTGGCGCCGCCTCGGAGGCGGGGCACGGATACCTGCCAGCCAGTCCCGCCCTGCGTGCACGCTTTAAAATAACAGTGCGATCCTGAGTCCTGCGAGTGGTGCTAGTGAGTTATGGATCCCGCGGGGGCTGTGGGAACCCAGAATTCACAGGCAGTTCATGAGAAGTACAGGTGGCCCGGTCCCCCTCCACCCCCAAGACTTGCAGCTGGCGTCTGACGTGAGGCAGTCTGCGCAGGCCTGAGCGCCCAACCCGCGGGGCATAGAGACTCGGGGAAGTCTGCAGCAGCGTCGCACCGTGTACATGCAGGTGGAGTGGACACAGGGTAATCGCCCTCCCGGAGCATGGCTCTGGGATGCTGAGGCCCTCTCTCAGCGGGCCCGAGGTAGAGTTTTATGTCTCCCTGCGCAGGACTCTGCAGCCTGGCCTGCTGATGTGGGAGTCGGGCCGAGAGCCAGGCTCCCAAACCTGCTTTCCAGGCTCCACCGTCCTGTGTGCCAAGGCCTGGTTTGCCCTGCCTTGGGTTTTGAAGGGTCCCCGGCTCTCAGGAGTCTTGGAGGGAGGGGTTCTTGGGCTGCAGCCCTGCCACCTTCAGTTTAAAAACCCAAGGCATGTTCGTCAGGCCGGGGCAGGTCCAGTGGTGCTGAGTGAAGTTTGCAGCTGGTCTCCCCCATTGGGACCAGCGATGTCCTCGGAGGAAAGAGCAGGCCCACCTCCAGTTCCCCACCTGCGCAGGGGGAGGGGCGCTGCCAGCAGCGGTCATCCCTGACACACGCAGGGTGACTCACTCAGCAGGCACACCACTGCCCTTGGCGATGCTCAAGCGTGAGTGTCAGTGAAGCCTGGGAAGACTTTGGGCAGCGGCAGCAGGTGAGGGGACCGCCCGGTGTTTCCAAGCTGGTGCATCTCAGCTTTGTCCCCTCAGCTCAGACCGGACCTCTGCCCCCTCTGGGGAGCCTCACACGGTGCAGGCTGATTTCTGGTCCCATTGCCCGTGAGCCGGGCGTTGGCTCCACAACCACAGGGCCATCTGGCCTGACCAGGAGCCCTCCTTCTGGGCTTTGCACCACGTGGCATGAGCTGCGAGGCTGCCCTTCCCCTGTTTACTCCAGACTGTGTTTCCTTTGGCCAAAGACTAAGGGCTCCTTTTTACGTTCAAGCTGATCCGTTGTGCAATAGACTCTGTGTTATTCTGGTCGGGGGAGACATTTTTTTCATGGCATAAAAGCACCAGTACTCTTTTCTACTTGAAAATAAAATGTGTACACATCATAGACATTTTCTAAAAGAGCAGCAATTAGTAAAAGCTTGGAGGGAAATGACGCATTACATCATGGGCTGGGGCGGCCATGGCCAGCTAGCGCTCTGGCTTGGCTCCCTGGCCCCTCCGTGGAGGGTTTCGCAGGGTCGGCACCGCAGTCCCCTCCCTCCCTGGTGTGCCCAGCAGTGCGTCCCAGGGCCCGTGCTCGCCCGCTGCACACACGTGAGCAGGAGGTTGTGTTGGCTTTCACCATCCTGTTGTGGACTCTGCTGCCGAGAAACAAGTTTTCTGGGGTTTTGTTGGTGGTGCTGCTTTGGTTTTGGTTTTGTTTTTCTTTTTTTTACTTCTGTGTCTGATCCTCAGTGACCACCTTCTCATTCCTAGTGTTGGGTTGGCTCCTTCTCATATACATTCTTCTTTCATAAACATCTTCTCCTCTCATTAAAACTCTTCCATTAGGTCTTTGTTTTAAACATTTGTCTTCTAGATTTTCACTTGTCATCTCTGGTTCTCATAAATGCTGATTCTGCCTCAATGTGATTCACTTCTATTTTCTCTCTGCAGTGGGGGAGAATGTTGGTGGCGGCTCATCTTCAGGGACTCGTTGGGATTAGTTTTTGTTACATTTTTAGCTTAGGATTCCTGTCCCACATCTCTACACAGGTTTGAGGTTCTGATTCAAGGGGCTTTTCTCTCCTTTCCCACCCAGAGCCAGGGCAGTGGCGCGCTTCCTCTCAAGTTTCTAGAGAGGAAGTCTGTTTCTTACTCTTCCCAGCACTTGGAGAGTCCCGGCCGGTGTCAGTGTCCGATCCGGCCCTCCGCCCTGCCTGGCACAGGTGCCAAAGGCCCAGGCCCCGGGGCCCCCTGTGGGTCCCAGCCTCTGCTGGCCAGCTCGGCGGCTCCCTCACCTTCCCCCTGGGCACCCTTCCCTCTTCACGTTCTGGTGCCCATCTTGCTGCCTTTCCAGCTTCCCTGTGTGTGTCTGTCCTGGACGGCATCAGCCATGCTAGCTCAGATTGCAGGGCTTCCGGAGCCTTCAGAGTCCTACTGCTTTTGCAGATTAGAAGGGTTCTGTGTCTGGAAACCTTTTGTTCAGTTTTATGTCTCGTCTTTAGAAGGTTTGGCATCTTTTGGGTAGTCACTGAGCGTGTCACCTTGTCCATGTTAATGCTCCTGGCTCTGAGTGTTACCAGCTGTAATGGGTGCCCTCTGGGTGCTTCCCCCACATCAAGGGCAAGGACACCCACCCCTGTGGCTGGTTTGCCCAGGGTAGCACACGGGGGCTTATAACCTCAGGTGAGGGTGACTCGGGGTGACTAGAATCAGTAGCCATAGCGAACCCTTCTCGGGGCAGCAACTCAGCGTCATGAAGATGCCTCTTAAGTGAGATAATCAAGATGGCTGGGGAGACTGACCCAGGGCTCAGGTGTGGGGGCTCCCCCTCTACTAGAGGCGGAGGGATGAGTATCACCCACGGGCTCACATTAAAATGCATTGTGGGGGGCGTGTAGCGTGGTGGCCGAGAGCCTGTGCTGAGCCAGGGGGCCTGGGTTCCGACTCCGGCTCCACAGCCCACCCAGTAACTGTGAGCAGATGGGCGTCCCCCGCACGCCTCATTCTCCCAGCCACAGATGGAGAGACTCACCGTGCCTCACTTTGTATGAACGCACTGGTGGTCCCGTGGTTACCAGGCCCCTGGTCCCAGCAGGGCACTGTCTGATTTCGGAGTCGCTACTGGTCTCCACAGAAACCTCTACTCTGAATTCTCTAGGACACTCTGAGAAGTTGCCAATCAGTCATTTGCCTGTAAAGGACTCTGCCTCTGTTGATTTCACCGGGGCCCCAAAGTAGATAAGAGCTGGGGCTCGATGGCATTGCTGTGGGTGCCCCCTTCCTGTCTGACTCAGGCACCGAGCACCGAGTCAGTAGACTTGTGCATTGGTGCCGTGGAGGATGGAAAGGAAGTGGGATTGGAAGGGACCCAGTCAGACCAACCTTGTGGGGCGACCTTCCCTTATAACCTCTTCGGCAGATGGCGCTCAGCCTCAGCAAACCGGAAACCTGGTTTCCAACAATGCACTTGTGCCCTTTGTCGGGGGAGGGGATCCCAGTTGTTGGGAAGTTTCTCCTGATCATAAACCCAAGTCTGCTTGCCTGTGTCTTCTGCACATTAACCTCAGTTCTGGTCCGCAGCACGACACGGTGCAGGGCTTTGTCTTCACGTCAGTCCTTCACTCCTCCCATCATCCCATCCCCCGCTGCAACGGGATAGCTCTGCTGCAGGTCCCTGGTTACAGCCCAGACCCCTTCCACTCACCTGCCTTCCTGCACCCAGCCAGGGTCTCACATGCTGAGCTTCATATGCTCTGTCTCCATAGGAGGAGATGGCTGAGCTAAAGGCCCAGCTCTACCTACTGGAGAAAGAGAAGAAGGCCCTGGAGCTAAAGCTGAGCACCCGGGAGGCCCAGGAGCAGGCCTACCTGGTGCACATCGAGCACCTGAAGTCCGAGGTGGAGGAGCACAAGGAGCAGCGCATGCGGTCCCTCAGCTCCACCAGCAGCGGCGGCAAGGACAAGCCCGGCAAGGTAGGGCCGAAGGGGCTCGGGCCTCGCTTCCTGCCCAGTCCCCACCACTCACTGCCCTGTGCCTCCCCTCCCTCATTTGTATAGGAGCTGCAGGCCACACTAGTTACCTAAAGGAAGGTGGCATTTGAGTGTAAAGAAACCAAACCTGCACTTACAGACTCTCACTCCATGTCACAGGGAGATCATTTCCATAGACTGTCGTCCTCCCGGGCGAGCGTCTGTGCTGTGGTCCCACAGTCTGACGCCAGTGCCACCTGCTGTGTCTGTCCCCCTCCACACAGCGGCCATCACGTGTGGGCCACTTCTGTGCTCACCACCCAGAACCCCGAGGAAGGCATCGTTACCCCATTTGCATGAGGAAAATGGGGTCCAGAAGAAGTGAAATGTCTCAGAGCTGCTCCATAGCAGAATTGGGGTTTAGCCCCAGTTTGGGTAACAGGCCCTCCGCCCCTTGTTCTGTTGCCTCCTTGGCTTTTGTCGGCAAATGTTGTCGGCGAGGTGAGGCAGAGGCAGAGGCAGAGGAGGAAGGCAGGCCCTGGATTTCACAGCAGACACCTCAGAGAGTGGGCTGGCAGGTGATGTTGTCTTGCAAACACTCCCATTAGCCCCCAAGTCTTTTTTTCTAGAACTGAAGCTCATTCCGTCACATTGCATTTCAGCATTATTGCAAATACTGTGTTAGAGGAAAAAAGCTTTGGACCTGAAGAGTTATATTTCTTGTCCCAGGACACTGAAATTCTGTGCATCGGGTTTTCTGTTCCTGATAAATGGTAGCTTCTCTGGATGCCAGTTTGCTTCAGGCCTAAGACTTGTGGGCACATGCCGACCTGCTGGTCTAAAGAGCGGGCTTTTGCAGCCCAAATGTCGTGTGTCTCCAGGAGAGCCCTGCACGTGGGAAAGAAGCCACTTGCTGATGCTGCGTGGCAGTGAACTGTCACCTCCTAAATAGCTAAGCCCTTGGAAGCATGCTCTATTTTACAAAGGGCTGCAGCTGCACTTTGCCCACCTCTTACCTGCCGAGGAACCCAGGGCATCTGTACAGGGGCACCCAGCGGGGTGGTGCTCCCGAGACTCTGGCTGCTTCTCAGTCAGTTATCTGTTCATTTGATAAATGGGATGTGGTCCCATTGGGGCGCTGGGGGCAATTCCAGATTTGCATGCCTATGGGGGACACTGACAAGCAAACAGAGGGTCACGACACAGTGATACAGTGTCCTGAGCGCAAGGACTGATTCCAGGTGTGATGGGAGGCCACAGGCCACGCTCAGAACCCTGGCTTGGAGATGTGGACCAGGTTTCCGGAGCTGAGACCCAGTGGAGAGTGGGAGCTGGCCAGATGAACGGGGCCGGGGAACCCCAGGGGCAGGGGAGACCACTCTAGGCAGATGGCGCCCCCCAGAGGGAAGAGGAATCGATGCACTGGTCAGCTGTCTGCGCTCTCCCGGGACAGTGAGGGAACCGCTGAAGGGTTGCCCCAGGGGGCAGTGATGCATATTTTGCACTTTGGACAAGTCACTGTGCGATGCACAGGAAGCCGGCAGCCCCGAGGGGGCGGGGCCTGCGCCGTGCTGTTGCCCACAGTGTACCAGGGCTCAGGGAGCCCGGCGTTCTGCTCAGTGCCTGCCTCTTTAAAGTCTCTACAGCCTCTGCGAGTGTGTTAGCGGTCACCGGGGGGCAGAGCCTGGGAGACAGAGCGCCCGCCCGCATGCAGTGCATGGGTGCGTGCGAGCAGGGCCTGGTGGGAGCAGACTCCCAGGGTTCTTGCGGGAAGGCCCCTGAGCTGAGCCTGCCCGGTTCTTGGTGTTTATTGTGACTGGGGAAGCCCTGCGTTTTCTGGAATGGCTTCCAGGTACAGAAGTCACTTTGATGGTGGCCAGGTGGTTTTGTGGGGTTTTTTTTTAACATTAGAGCTTTAACAAAAGAGCTTTTTAAAAGTACCTTGGGTTCAGGTAATGAAATTAGAGTAAGCTGATTCTCTTGTCTTTCAAATATGGGAACCATTTACTATTTCAATAGCATCTCCCTTCCCAGCTATTCATTTTTCTGATTTGTTGGTAGATGAAGCAAACTGTCCAGAGCCAGGGTTGGAAAACTCTAAAGCATCACATCGTCAGTATTTTGGGGCTTTCGAGGCACCCAGACTCTGCTGCAGCTTCGCTTGGCTGCCACAGAAAGAACTGGGGGTGAAAGCAGAGAGGGTGCCAGCCAGGAAGGGCGGGCAGTGTGCTAACAGCACTTCACGTATGGACATTGAAACTTGAATTTCATATAATTTCTACAGATCACAAAACAGTCTGTATATATATTTTTCATGATTTTAAAAACAGAAAATCAATTCTTAGCTTGTGGGCCTTATTATAAAACAGGTGGCAGGCCAGATGTGGGTCTAGAACACCCACCTTACTCTGGAGAGCAGACAAGTCATGCTTGTCTGCTTGTTTGAAAACTTCCCTCCAGCCCACAAGCTGGAATCTCATCTAAGTTGCATTAGCTTTTTTGCACTTGTTTCTGCAACAGCTATTGCCGGCCATGCTCGGTGAGAGGCACGGTAGGACAAGGCTGTCCCTGTCTCTAAGGAGTCAGGAAACGTCCTGCCCTCACAGGGGAGCAGGTGCAATGGAGGGGAGGCCAGTGGGATCTCAGCGTCCACACGCTGGAAGGCGGGGCCAGGGCCGGAAGGCAGAGAGGAAGGAGGGAGAGCCACGGCCACAGAGGACGTGCAGAGGGAGGATGTTCAGATGAGGGCGGTGTGGCTGCGGGTGCCCCTTTGTGGGGACATCTCTGCGTCAGTCAGCAGGCTGCAGGACACTCGGCGCCCTCCTGTGGTCCCGACTGGTAGCACTAGATTCGTACTTGTTGCCACCTAACTTTGTTTGCATTCAGTAAACAAATACATCAACTGCAACAGATCACCAGCTTTCATCTCAGGCCTGGGGTGTAGTAGCTGCTCAGTGAATGTCTTTGGAGCAAAAATTATCAGATGCACCTCCCCCGGCCACTTTCCTAGGCAGCATGGAGGCTGCCCTGGGCTAGAGCGCTTGGATGGGTGACCACAGCTGGTGCGCAGGAGTCTGGCTCCCGCGTCCCTCTGCTATAAAGCAGGATTCGGTCTGATGATGTCAGCATTCCTGTCTAATGTTATAGCATGGGGGGGGGCATCTCTGTTTTCCTCCTCCTTTCTGAGTTTTCTAGAGGTCACACTGTACCTAAATGTAGACAAGACTGGTTTTCTCCCAAGGAGGAGTGGGGCTGGGGTTGAGGGTCCTCTGTCTCCCCCTCGTCTCTTATGAATTTATGAATTACGAGAGGCTGACTCACGGTGAAGAGCCCTGCTGTACAGCCAGCCGACCCAGGTTTGATCCTCGTTCCACCAGGTCCTGGCGGATGACTTGGGGCAGTCACTTCTGTGCCTTAGTTTTCTCCTTGGCCAAACGGGGATCACGATAGCAGCTGCCTCGGAGTACTGTCATGGTTAAATGGGAGGGGGTGTGCGACCGCTCAGGCCAGTAGTGCCTGGCACACAGGGAGTGCTCGCGGCTCACGGGGAGCGGTCATCGGCCGTGGGTCAGCCTGCCGAGGGCTGGGACGCCGGGGCAGTGCTGCAGCTGTCGGCCCCGCTTGGCTCCAGGTCTCACTCACATGTCTGCCCTTCCCAGGACTGTGCTGACGCTGCCTCCCCAGCTCTGTCCCTGGCTGAACTGAGGACCACACACAGCGACAGCGAGCTGGCTGCAGAGTTCGCCAACGCCATCCGTCGGTAAGCACCCTGCCAGGGACCCAGACACTCAATCTGTTCTGGGAGCAGCGGCTGTGTTCTCAGTTCTCTTGGCTGCTCGAGCAGTGCTCCTGGGTCACTCAGGCCTGTCCAGGAAGGGGCTTCCGCTGTACCCATTGTGTCTGGTGTACATGTTGAGTTTTGCATTTTGGTGATGAAATCTCTCATGTCTTTAATGATGATGGGTTCTCCTCTTGTCCAGTCCTTGCTGGGCCGACACGGAGGAGCCCTGTTGGCTCCAGACCGTTCAGAGGGGAGCAGTAGGAGAGTGTAGACGTGGTCACTTCATCGGCAAACAGAAAATGTCCCTTTCTTTGCTTTTTTGTTGTGTTGTGCTGACCGGACCCTTCAGGACAATGTTTAATGGTGACAATCAAACCAGGCACCTTGACCTTGTCTCCAGCGTCGGTGGAAACACTTCCGTCGGCATTGCCAGCTCCTCCCAGTCAGGAAGCCTCGTGTGTGCATTCAGTTCTGGGCATTTTCCTCTGTTTGTTTCTTCCCCTCTCTTCTTCCTCTCCTCCAAGGAGAAACTGTTGCTGACCCATCTGGGTCTGCGTCCCACATCCTCGCCTGCCATACTCTCGCCCTCTGTCCAGAGAAGCGCCGTCCTTCCAGTAGGAACGAAATGCGAGCCCCGTGTGTAAATCCGGGCTTCTAGCAGCCAGATGAAGAAGTCTAAAGAAGCAGGTGAATAAGGTGTTTCATATACCCAGTGTGTCCAAAACGTTATCTCAACAGCTAATCAATATTTTTAAAGGCTATGTTAATGAGATCAGTAGTAGTGGTCACACCAGGTTTTCAAAATCTGGGACGCGTTTCGCACTGACGACACATCGCCAACCCGAGCAGCCAGCACTTCGGGGGCTCGGGCGCAGGTGCAGCCGCACGGCAGGGACAGGCAGCTCTAAGGGGTTCTTCAACTCGGTTGTCCAGCTCACTATGTTTTTAGTCCTCACCTGAGAATATGATCATTGATTTTTCCTTTTTTAGAGAGGGAAAGGAAAGGAGAGAGAGACAGAAACATGGACATAAGAAACAGACATTGATCAGTTGCCTCCCGTACACACCGCCTGGGATCAAACCTGCAACCTGGGTACGTGCCCTGACCTGGGATCGAACCTGTAGCCCTTGGGCGCAGGGCTGACACTCCAGCCGGCTGGACCATCTGGCCGGGGCACTAATTTTTTCTTTAGCTGTATCCATTGTGGTGTTTGACTTAGAGCTGAGTTTTTTATTTTGGTAATTAAATCTGTCATATCTTTAGTGGTATGATATCCTCTTACTCTGAGGATATTATACTACTGATCCTACAATGTTACTTTGTCTGCCGTGTTGACTCTGTGTCCACACATCAAACTCTTTTCAGAACTGAGTTTCGAGACTCTTCCCTGGTGTGGCTCACACGCCCCCCTTCCGGCTTCCGCGGCTCCTGGCCCCGCCCGCTCCCTGGGCTGCAGACCTGGCCCAGCATCTGGTCCCCTGCTGTCCCGGGCCGGCAGCTCTCCCTGAGCCCCACTGACACCCATCTTCTTATAGCTCCACTCTTCTGTTTGCATTCCGAGTTGTGGTTTCCTTTCTCGGGAAGAAGAAAAACCTTGGCTTTTCTATGAGTGAGTGCTCATCGTCTCTGGTGTGCAGGGAACACTCCTTGCTTTCTAACACATTAGGGGATTTTTGAAAACACATTTCCCGCCCTGGCCAGGTGGTTCAGTTGGTTGGAGTGTCGTCCCGCACACCAAAAGGTTGCAGATTCGATTCCCGGTCAGGGCACACACCTGGGCTGTGGGTTCGATCCCCAGTCGGGGTGTGAATGGGAGGCAACCATTCTGTTTCTCTCTCACATCAGTGTTTCCATCCCCCTCCTTCCTCTCTTTCTAAAGTCAATAAATATGTATCTTCACATGAGGATAAAAAGCACATTTCCCAACATTTCTGTTGTTAGGGGAAGGCTACAGCACGTGGCCAGTTGGCCCTCCATCCAGCCCGCTGCTCAGTTTGGGTGCGGCCTCCGGGCTGACAGTGGATGGAAGGCGGCCTCGCGGGAACGTCATTGCCTTCCTCACTTCCTGTCACTTTTGCTCTGTGCTCCCAACTTGTGACAGCTCTGCTTTACACCCCCTGTGCCTCTGGTCATGTGGTTAAATTACAATGGCTTGGCTTGAGGTGGGAAGAGAGAGGCGTCTCCGGAAGATGCCGTCCGTGAATCCCAATGACCCGGCAGTGCCAGGAGCAGGGGGTTCAGGCCCACGCCCGCCTCCCACTGGGAAGCGTTGGGTGGCGTGTCTGCACCCTCAGCCGCGGCGTCTCTCCGATTCCCCAGACCTCAGAGGCCTCTGCTGGCACAGGGAGGGTGCAGGTTCTGCTGACTCAACACGAAGAGATTTCATTTGCTCTGTCCATTACAGTGGATTTCCAATAACCAGCCTTGAGTTGGTTAGCATGGATTTCTAATCAAGAGCCAGATACATGGATTCCAGAAAGAACCCACAGGGCTACAGGAAAGAGGGCAATAACATAATTGCCCTGGAAGAACCATTTCACGAGGGTATGTAATATAAACACCCGAGGGCTGGGAATGTTTTTATTTTTAAAAAACCAAGTGGAAACTAACACCTTCGGAGATATTAAATCACCACTGAGCTAGTTGAAGTCAATTGGGGGAAACTGCCCTGCATTTTCAGAAATATTTCTTCCTTATAAAATGAATCTGTGGGCCCAGCCATCCAGACTCAAGACGGCAGGTATAGAGCAGGGAGGGCAAGAGGCTACACCGTGGTCTTTTCTTGTGGAGAACCAGCCGGACCCGAGGAAGGCACCTGTGGCCTTCCAGTCACTGGTTCCAAGGTCCCTGCCCTCTCGCTGCGTCTTCGCCCGGCCCCGGTTTGGAACGCAGCCTGGACTGCTCGTAAACCTGCGTTTGCCGCCTCCTTCCCTTCTGTGCTGATTTCAGTCCCTCCACCTCCGTGAACGTTCATTGTGGTTTATTGGCTCCCATTTGCCACCAAACTGCATCTGGAAGACCCAGTTTCCAGTCTTGAAGCTCTCCTTAGCCGGGGGCCTTGTTTGGCGTTCATCCCCACAGGCTGCAAAACCTTCACCTCAGGTCCCTCTCCTGCTCCGGGTCCTGGTAAAATTTAACCGGATGATCTTTATAGCAAAGAAGTGAAGTGTGACTGTGCAGTTAAAGAGAGAATTTTCAGAAATGACTCTTCTTTGTACTTGGATGTGTGAAATGCAGCCTGCCCTGGGGACCTCAGCACAGCTGGGAGGGGCAGACCGTCCATCTCTGTCATGTTCTTGGGGACAAGCGGTGGTCTCCGCGTGAGGGGGTAGGAAAGGCACAGCAAGGCTGAGTGGTTTTCTAGGGTCACAGAGCAAGTCAGTGAGAAATCAGGGGGCTTCCACCTTCTTTGGACCCCACTTACTGCCAAAGAGTTGCCTGAAGATGAGGGTGATCCAAGCTGCTCATGTGGGCTCACCCGGACAATATTTATAACAATTAAGTAACTTTATCCTCAAAAAGGACTTAAGATATTGCTATTTCACACTACCTGGGCTTTCTGAAAAATAATTAGTGATAGACTCATGTTTACAATGAAGGAAATAAGTAGGGTCGTATGATATAGTCACTGTGGTGACTTCTTTTCCCCAAAATTACATATAGATTACAATGAATAATTTGGAGGAAATGCTAAGGTGCTATGATGTTACAACTCTGAGCCATTCGTTCAGATGGGTGGGCTCCTCAGAGGAGGTGGCCTTTCGGTTGCGATGAGGAGGAAAAAAGTAGCTGGTTGGGAGAAGCACACCCCAAGCAGAGGGAGGAGCTTAGTGTGTGCCGGTGGGACTCCAGCTGGAGGGTGAGGGGCAACGCCAAAACCTGGGCAGGCAGGGGCAGGTCGAGCAGGGCCCTAGAGGCCCGGGTAGGACCACTGGTTTTATGCCAGCTGCAGGTGGAAGGCACAGAAGGGCGGCGACATGATCCAACTTGTGATAGTAAAAACTTCTGAGGTTCTGTGAAAACTTAACTAGAGGAGGGAGAGGTGCTGCGGACACCATGCAGAGGTGAGGAGTGACCGGCCCACAGGTGCTGGCAGAAGTGGCGCTTTGGTAGGCACAGTTCGCTCTTGAAGCAGTTCAGCTGCTGTGGAGGTCGAGGGCAAGGGAGGGGTGATGAGGGCCGACGGGGTTGCCCCTGCTGACAAGGGAGGGACGGACGGAATGGGAGACCGTCTCAGAAGGCCAGCCTCAGACATGCCAAGTTGAAGATGCCTAAGCAGAGATGTCAGATAAACCCAGAGATCCTGGACAAGGCCTGAAGATAAGGATTTGGGCTTTTAACATGTTATTTAGAAAAATAAATGGGGATGGAGAGAATCAAGTGAAGAAACAGTGGGCTGTAGAAAGTGGTCCAGGCCCAAGTCCCGGTGCTCCGAGTATGTAGGGTCGGAGCAGAGACCAGGTCTGCAGGTCTGCGAGGCCCCACCTGCCTGCCTGGGCAGTGTGCTCTGGTCTCTCAGGGTCCTGGGCACTAGGTAAGCCCTTGGTTTGGGGGTGCAGGGCGCTGGGAGTTCCATATTCTACCTTGTCTGCAGGGTGGCACAGAGGGGTATGGATGGAATCGGGGTGGAGGATAATGGTATTGCTCTGGTCAGTTTCTTTGTTGTGAATGTATTGAGTTCATGATGACATTTTTAATTCTTGTCACAGTATTTTTTTTCCCTTTGCACTATTAATCAACTTTAGGGGGAAAAAAAAAGACTCAAAACAGTAACAAAATGTAGGAGAAATGACCCTCCTGTTTTTAGCCAGAGGGAAAGGATGAATCTTTTCCCAGTCTCATAACCTGCCCCAGCTGACGGAGGGGGGGGGAGGGAGCAGGCACCCAAGAAACTGTTCTCACTTGTGGCAGGAAATGGTGACATCTTCAGACTCCTGTTAAGAAATGCAGCCAAATTTCGGGGTGGCTGCAGAGCCCAGGAGAAAGCCCGATCCTTAGCCAGTGGGATGCGCTCTGCTGGCGGGAGGGTTCCTGAGCAAGGAGCAGTGATGCGACTAGTTGTCAGGTTTCACTTTAAACGATTTTCCCCTTTCAGCCTCACTCACAAAAGGTCAGGATTTTTGTGTAGCAGTTCCTTTATTACTGTTTGGAAAGCTTGACTTGCACTAACAGCAGCTGGAGGTGGAAACATGAAAGATAGATATTTGAAAAGCCAGGAAGGGGAGAACCAGCCTCTGAACCATTGGCAAAGTCCTTACCTAGGTCACCCTCCCAGGCCCTCCTAGGAGGACCTAGGAAGGTCTACCTCACAGTTTACAAACGCAGGGAAAGTTTAAAATTTTCCACGCAATCGCTTATAAAGTATTTATAAAAACTTAGATTTGGGTATTTTGGGTATGTTAGCTATTTCCCGCTATTGGCTTCTAGTGGGTGGAGGCCAGGGGTGCTGCTAAACATTAGCCCCACAGCAAAGATTTGGACAAAATGTCAGTAGTACCAAGAAACTTTGCAAACCATTTTTGACAGGTTTGGTCAGTCACAGCACCTTCTTCACATACTGCACAAACCTTTTTTTGCGTTTGAGTTGCATTTTTACTTTTCTTGAAATAATAAAAGCATAATGTACCAAAAATATTGCATATTTCCTCCCATCTTCAATATTAACATGGCTGCACAAAAATTTTCCAATTCTGATGTTTTTTAAATGCAAACTGATATGACAGCTGTCACAATACAATCTAACAAAATTGTTTTAAATGACATTAAAGACAACTAAGTGCTATCAGAGCCAAACGTAGGGAAAAAAACTAAAGGAACTTTTTGGCCGACCTAATAGAAAATGAAAGCTTCCTGTCACCCCTCTTCTGTGAGTTAACCTTTGCTGAGTGGTGTCTAGTCTGTTGTCAGCACACTAGACTTTTTGTTGTTTTTGCAAAAACAGCATCAAAGAGAACTCACCCTTTCCACTTGACAGTTTATTGGACACTGCCAAGTGCATTCAATCTGTACTTGTTAAGTTGCAGAGTGGACAACCAGGGACAGATACCCTACCCTGGCTGTTTCCCACTCTGAGCTGTTACACCCAAAGCTGCAATGAATGCAACTGTAATCTCATCTATCTTGTGGCACCTACACTATTTCTACAGAAAAATTCCTAGAAATGAAGTTGCTTAGTCAAGGGGCATGTTCATTACAGACACTGCCAAACTGCCTTCCAACACAATCGTGCTAATTTACACTCCTCATACAAGGAATTTCTTCCATAAATTCCGGTTTCTTAGTATGCTCCAAGGAACAAATACTGAGTTATTCCAAAACTGTGTTACCCACTGTCACCCAGGCATGGTGCTCAGCACGGGGGACACACCGGGACCCTGGAGCCTGCGTGCCTGTGGGGAGTCTGCTGAGCTCGGATGCACAAACCAGATGAGGGAAGGTCCGCTGTGACCTGTGATACAATGCAGTGCCGCTGCGCACAAGGGAGGCTGGCAGGGTGGTCATTAATGTCTCCCTGCCCTGGGTCTTGTGGGAATCAGAGGGAGGCAATGAGCTGAATGGACACTACAGACCTCCCATAACTGACCCCTCATCAGGTAACTTGGGTTATTGCTGTAGCAGTAAAGAGCCATGGGGGGCGGGGGGGAGTCAAATGAAAGTGCCCATATAATTTCAGTACTTTAAAGGGAAACAAGGACCTTTAAAAGGAGAATACTGTCAATTCTACTTCCTCTATCTTTTTGTGCTTGTTTTGCAAGGTAGGACATTGTCGATTTCAGTAAGCAGGGACTTGGGCTTTGTGCATGAATCCTGAGTGGTTCAGGAGATGCTGGGGACACCGGGAGGAGAAGGGTGTGGGGCTGCAACAAGGTTCTGCAGTCGAGCTGCACTGGCTGAGGAGCATCTGGCAGGCCCGCAGAAGGGACTTCCAGGTTAGCTCAGCTTCTCCATCTGGGACACATCCCTCCTGTCTGTTCCTTTGTGACTTATACCTTAGATTTCTAAAGGCCCTGAGCATTGAAGGAAGCAGACTCAGACCGGCCTCAGGAGTGCAGAGGTGAGGCCTCCTGGCGCCACCCCTGGGAAAGGGAGCTCCTGTGCCTGGCCTGCCTTTGACTTGGCCAGGTGCACACTTCCCCGGGTAACTCATGGCATGCTGTCTGTCTCCTTGATACAGAGAAAAGAAGTTAAAGGCCAGGGTTCAAGAGTTGGTGAGTGCCTTGGAACGACTCACCAAGAGCAGTGAAATCCGACACCAGCAATCAGCAGAGTTTGTCAATGACCTAAAGAGAGCCAACAGGTAAAAAAAAAAAAACCTCGTGTGTATATGGCCAGTGGTACTGTGTGGGTTCAGAACCCCTTTGTACACATAAAAAACTGAGGATCTCAAAGAGCTTTGTTCTTATCATTATTTATCTATTGACACCATTTTAGAAACTAAAACGATTTTTTAAAGTTTTCCTTAATTCACTGAATAAGAAACTAACTACATGTAATATAAATGACCTTTATTTTTTAAATATTCCTTATTTTTCCAAAAAAATGTGGCACTGTTTTTACAGTTTTGTGAATTTCTATAATGTCTGGTTTAATAGAAGCCTGTATTCTCACAATTGCTTCTACTGGCAAATACATTGTTCTGAAACAGGTAAGAAAGCCAGTTTCACAGACTGTAGGTAGAACTCACAGGCACCTTAGGGGTCCATCTTCGGGCTACTCTCGCAGACCCTGAATGCACATGGAAGGTGGGGGGGGGGTTGCCATGTGGGACCAGAGAGGGTGTCGGGACTTACCTAGCCCTGGGGGGACAGCTCAGAGCTCTAGATTCTGGGTCAGGCTGGCATCAGCTTCTAACAGCCTGTGTGCTCAGAGTCCCAGTCATCCAAAGAATGAAGGGAAATGGCCGGAGCCCCTCCGCCCTCATCTTCAGTGAGGTCACTCAGACTAAAGTGCGAGAGAAACTCCTTTCCTTATCTTACACTTGACCATCTGTTGCAGGCAGTCAAGGAATGACAGACACAGTATTCGTATTTAAATGACAGATTTCTGGAATCCAACTGCCTTTCTGCTGGTTTTGCATGTGGCTAGTTTGGATGGTTGGTCTAAACCTTCCTAATGTGTCAGTGACAAGCCCCCGGCAGTCAGCTGAGCGTTTGTGCTTAAGCTCAGAGATGAAGGGCTGTGAGAGGTGAAACACTAACCATTTGACTTCAGGTCCCTACTGAGGAGGCTGAGTGACCTTCTCCAGAATGGTGCTTGCTGGAACTGGCTGCCCACTGGGCAGGCCGGTGTGTCTCAGTGCTGCCTCAGGGGAAGCTTGCATCTCGTTTCCTCCTGTCCCCCCACAGCAACCTGGTGGCCGCCTACGAGAAAGCAAAGAAAAAGCATCAGAACAAACTGAAGAAGCTGGAGTCTCAGATGATGGCCATGGTGGAGAGACACGAGACCCAAGTGAGGATGCTCAAGCAGAGAATAGCTCTGCTGGAGGAGGAGAACTCGAGGCCACACACCAATGAAACTTCACTTTAGTCGGCACTCGGGCCCCAAAGTTCTGCCCGTGAAAGCTCAACTGTAGTGGGTCACAGAAGAGAGAAGGGCCCTGGGGACAGAGGACCTGTTGAGAGAATTAAGGAAGGTTGGCAGGTAGGTGACTGCCCGGGCAGTGCAGTGCCATGGACTAGCCCTGGGGGTGAGCGTCCCTGGTGACGCCGTGTGGGCTGTGTCCCACAGACTCACGAACAGCATGTAAATACCTGCTGTTTGCGTGCTCAGCAGGCCTTGCTTCTGCTTTCAACGTCCCAGGTGTTTGTTTGATAGGATTTCCCACTTTTTGCCTCGGTTCAGTAGATAGTGACCTTATCTCTGGCATCCCCGATCTCTCCTCTGACCTCCTTCGGAGGGAAAACTCTGACACACACATGGGTGTGTATATGTCTTGGTATCTAGGAGATTTACTCACCATAAGGCAGCTTTGGTGTTTAAGTCCCACCTACCAACTCGGAGACACAAGCTGTCACACAGCAGATAGTACACAGGTGTCACAGTCCTAGATGGGAGTTACAGGGCGAGCAAGCCCCAGGCTGTGCCTGAACAGCGGTGTGTGGGGGAATGAGACTGCCTTCAGCTCCCACTGTGGAGGCAGGGCCCAGGAGGGTGCTCTCCTGATTTTGGGACTGCCCTGCCTGATGGGGCCTCATCAATAGCCAAGGCTGGGAGCTGGGCTGATGCATATATTGGAACTAAAATTTTTATCTGGAATTTCTTCAAGGACAGAGGGGGATTTTTAATGCTTCCTCACCCCTGGGCACTCTATAATTGCCGTTTGCATGAACCAGAGTTCACCCACGGGAGTATAGACATAGCTCTGGAAATGCCTCTATTTCTCTAAGGGCAAGAAGCAGGACACCGAGTAGTTACCATTTTGCAGGCTGACCCCATCTATTTAAGAGATTGCTACTGAACCACGGGTTCAAGACTTCACTCCTGTTGTGATAAAGAGCAGGGGGTGAGGAAGTGGTCCTCCTCCAGGCTTCCTTTTCTCCCCCAGACTTGGTGATCATTAGCATATGGTGCTTAAACAGGTTAAATTTCAAGCAAAATGCTGACAGGACTGGGTAGGACCAAAGTACCTGAATTCTTTCAGGAAGGGCTTCCATCTCAGACTCATTATTCCTCTTCCACTGTTTCAGTCTTTCTTTGGTAGTTGCCCTACACTGAGACATTTTAAAGGACCACTTGCCATTTATTTTGTGGCACCTGAAAATTCACCCAAGTGCCCTATGAGAAATACATCCCAATGCAATGCTACAGTTCATACAAAGGTTTGCTTATGGCCAGGTCATTGCGTCAGCATCCCCACGTCCACAGCTAAACATCTGCTTTCAGAGCACATGAATCCTGTTCCTCAGCCTTCTGCCCTCTGGTGGAGGACACTGGAGCTACCGCCTTGGATGGCAGAGTCTCAACCCCAAAGCAGTCACCTTTCTCAGGTAGGCAGTGAGGCTGTCAGTCTGCAGGAGCCAGCTCCCCGGGGCTCTGATCACTGCAGAGGGTGCCCGCTGCTCCCTGTCTGTTACGAATCATTCCGTCAGAGTTGGTTCTTGTTTGTGATTTCTTAAAATCAATTTTTACTCTTTGGGTAAAATTTCATTTTGTCACAAGGAAAATGTTTTGGTTGAAAAGTATGTCCAAAAATGGTTTAACAGGAAAAATCAGTTTTCCCAGCTTGCCTAGGGAACCGTCCTCCTACAAGCTAACTGGAACGTGCGTGCAAGGTGGGAATGCAGCCATGGCTTTCTCTTGCAAATGGAAAGTGTAGCAGACACAAGGAATCGAAGCCTGTCTGTTGCCCTACCATGCTTGCCCCAAGTTAGAACTGAGCGCCCACCCTTGTAGCGTCCAGGAGCCCCTGTATTACTGAGGCTGCCTGGCCTCATTTTCAGTTTATATGTCAACATAATACTTCTTAAATATGTGGTGATCGGGTAAAAACTATATCCCCAGTAACACTGTTACTTTTCTAACTGTGCAGAATAAAAAAGCTATTATTAAATAGTTGATTTCCTTTCCTTGTATTTTTCAAAAACCCCCTAAGACGAAATCCTTGCTGAAGGTGAACAGGCACTGACTGGGCTGTGCCGACTGCGGAGCCCACTGAAACTGCCTTGTTGGAGGGCTGCAGGCACTGGGCATCGTCCTTCTTTGTAACCTGAACTGTTGTTCCCTTTCTGAGTGCAAGATGGTTTTATATCAACATCTCTGTCAGGGGTGAAACAATGTTTTCAATTCTAACTTGTATGAGGTTTTAAAAGTCTTTAGACCTTTATATTTTTGGTTTCTTACCCCTTTTAGGCAGTTACCTTCTCTGAGTTCAGTCTTTGGCCCTTAGAGCAATGGGCATGAGAAGGGCCGACCTCATGGTTCTCTTGCAGTGTATTTCCCACCACTGAACTGAGGCAAAAATCAGAAGACACTTGTGTCACTGGCGGGCCATCAGTGTGTGGACCTCCCCACTGGATCTGATGCTCTGCCAAAACTGACACCAACTCCTGTGTGGTGAGATGTTATTTGAAAGTTTCACCAAAACCTACTTATGATAAATATCTACATCATTGGACAGCTGGCACTTAACCATGCCCTGACCCCAGGGGTGTACTCGATGTCTCATTGTTGCCATCTGCTGGCATGCCAGGTATCTGAAGTTAACATCCATGCTGCCTGAAACTGGAAATGTTAGGTCTATAAAAAAATGAAGTGCCAGTTTAAGGTAACTGCTTACTTCTCCTTTGAGATGCATGTACCTCTTACTAATCTTTCCTCTGAACCTGCAGCAATACTTTACAGGAAACTCAGAGAACTCTGAATCAGAGCTTTGTCATTCTACTTTTCCAGAAAGGCTCCAAATTAGAGCCTCTAAGGCTTGTTCTTAAAAACCATTAAGATGTGGCTAGTAAGGATTTTACTACTCTTAAGTATCTAGTATCAGACAGTCTCCCAGTCCCTAGCTCTACATAGATCAGCTGTCCCCAACCTTTTCTGCACCAGGAACATGGTTTCCTAGAAGACAATTTTTCCATGAAAGGGCGGGGGCAGGAGTGCTGAGCTCAGGTGGTAACGCCAGTGAAGTTTCGCTGGCTCCCCAGCCGCTCCCCAGTCCCCTGACCCGAGGACTGCCCGTGTCAGCAGCGTGAACTAAGAACCTCTGTAGCTGCCTGTTTCCTTCTAAAATGGTCTTCCCACAGCCCACAAAAATGATCATGCAGTTAATTCTATCATTCATTATCTTAAACATCTCAATTCTATCATTCATTATCTTAAACATCTCAAGAGTTTAGGGTGCCATACTTGTGTTTTAAGTGAACTGACAAGAAAGACATCAAGACTACAAAAAAAAAACACCTTTTACAAATGACTTCTGAAAGTCATAAGGTTCAAAAAAGTTTTAAGTTATTTGGGGATACAAAACACGGAGTATGTCTCATCCATGAAAGTATTTAAAGTGAAAAATTTGATCATTTTCACTAAGTTCACAGCTGAACCTATTTCTAGATGCAGCAAGCAAAGCTAGTTAGTTTCCAGAGGCCAAAGGGGGGACGAGTTATCTGATGATTGAATGTTTGCATTGAGTTTAATTAGGGCACAGTCATAGATAGCACTGCCAAGGGTGTTTTATTACGGGGTAGGAGACATATGTACCTTTTTGTTGTTTTCCTATAGTAGGTGACACTGAAATCATATAGCAATTATTTTCTATTTACCCAAAAGAATGCCCTATTTGACAAGAATACAATCACCACTTTTCACTGAGGTTTCCAAACTCCCTAGTGCTTAGAGGCTGGGCCCTACTTTGTAGAAGACACAAAACTAGTTAGAAAACAAAAATTATGCCTTTGCTGCACACACAGTTCTCCCTGAAGTTTATTCAAATCCCATTCTAGTTCACCGAAACCCCATGTGTATACAGGCCAGCTTGAAGTTAGCCTTGAACCTGTGTCCTCCTCCAGGTCCTCTTGTTTCACACACACTTTCTGACTGACTACATTTGTATTCACTAATATATGCTACAGGCTGTCAAGCAAACTTTTTAGAACTGGAATCAGAATTACCAATTAATGTGATACTGGCTGCTACCACAGCATCACTGAGCTATTAAAAAACATACATGTAGAAAAGGGTACAAGTTGGACTAGCAGCTGTTCATGAATTCCTGTTTTGCTCATTCTTGTATAAAGGAATCTAGTTTCACATACAATTTGCATTTTTGGTTAAGAGTTATACTAGACACACTCTCTATCGCTCACATCTGAGATTTTGTATGTGGCCGAGACAAATCATTCTGTCCCGGTAATAGCAAACAGTATTGGATAATCATATCCTTGACCAGTGCTACCTGATTTTTTGAGTCAAGGCAGAAACAAATCACTCACCCACTAATCACCGGAAACACTAGCTCAACAGAGCCACCAAGCTATATACAAAATGCCCCCATTCACACTGATTACCTGCTCACTTGTTCCTGCTCTACACTCACTTTTGCACTTTTTGCAAATCAAATCCGTGTGGAAACGTTCTGTTTGTAGAACTCCTAGTATTCACTTATAGTGCTCATGTCAGGACGGCCGAGCAAGTAAGAGCCCTTAGTAACCTGCTTCTGACTGAACCCAGTGCACAGATAATGAAACACGTTCCCTTCATTTCTGATGTTTTAGACACTGTCGACTTATTTACCCTGCATGAGATTTAAGTTTCCCATTATTTGACAATGTGCTACTTACTTCTACGCCACTTGAATGTACTGTCAGTTATTAAAGCACATGTGACTAAGTTTGCATTTGTCAGTATTGTTCCACTGTCTGTACTGAAAGTCTCCTTTTAAAGTTTCCACTTAGCACGCTGTACTATAAAACCTTGTAATTTTCTAGATTCTTTACGTGTATGCTTTAAATGTTTCCAGATGCCTTTAGTTTTAGCTGCTGTAAAATACTTTGTTATTTGATATAGAATTGTTTTTAAAAATCTCCATTTATTTATACAAAGACATTTATAATATTTTACAAACATTCTTATATTCTGAATAAATATTTCTAATTCCAAGATGTACTGTAACTATGTTCACTAAAGGGTAAGGCTGTCCTCCTATAATACTTGTTTATCTAATGTAAACATCAAGCCTATGTTTCACATTAAATCACAGGACCTAGGCAAAGCAGAGGCTAGAAACCAGACCAGATAAGGTCAACGAAACCACACTTATCACCAATTTTTATTTGGCTGCCTTTTCAAGTTTGGTATGAATGGGAAGTTATTAAAGAATATCTTTCCTCTTTAAAAAATTACTTAAGTGGAATACAGTTGTCCCTCGCTATAGCGTGGTTCACTTATTGCAGCTTCACTGTATGGTGGGTTTTTAAAAACCCGCAAAAAAAGTGAAGCTGCAATAAGTGAACCACGCTATAGCGAGGGACGACTATCTACTTCACTGGTGCGTACCCATATAGAATTTTATATGTTGTTAAAATTACGTAGGTTTACGAGTGTATGAAGTGTTTATAAGAGTGCGGGAAAGGTTTATAGGAGTGTGGGAAGGGTTTATAAAGCCTTAAAATATATATAAATAATAAAATAAATACAACGCCACTACTTCGCAATTTTCACCTGTCTCAGGGGGTCTCTGGAACGTACCTCCCGAGATAGGTGAGGGATCACTGTGTAATCAAGAATTGGAAATACAAGCAAGTCGTACATGACTATAAGAAAGTATGGTCAACAGCTTTGCAACATGTCTCTTCTCACTATCAAGGCAATGTACCTTGGACAGTAAGAGTATAATTAATACCTTGATCATTTTAATATCACAAAATTCAGGTCTCTAGTAGAGAAGAATGTATTTCTTTCTCCCTGAGATCCAAGAACATTAAAAACCCAATTACAGTAAAATCTTCCTTTAAAGCAACAAACTGTAATTGTTTGAGATGGAAAATACATACCAGTTCTTTCATTTTTGAAGAGATGTTTTACATCTTACTATTTCTTCGTTCATATAAGCATACCTGTATCCTGTACTTGTCATTTGTTATTGGTCTAAAGAGATGCAATCATAATATGAGCAACTTGGAACCTATAATAACAAGTAACAGCAGAAAACAAGTTAAGGTAGTAAGTTAAACTGCCCAAGCAGCAAAATTTATTGATATTGCACTACAGTCTAAATTTAACATGATGTTTTTACAGAAAGCCAATATTTGAACAATCAACAGAAAAGAAAATGGTTTAAAATATAAAGGTAACCTTCCATCATTCAAATTATATGTTGTAATTTCTACATTGGTGTTACATCAAAAAGATCATCATAACTGTTACAACATAGGAATTTGTTCATTTTCTTACCTTGCACTTCTAGAAAACGTTGGAAGTGCAGTGATCCCACAACATTAACTCCCAATTAATAAACATGAGTCATTTACACTGAGGGAAAGATACAAACCCAGAAATACAATAAACCTGCTCTAAAGGTATCAACTGTTGTAACTACAGGGTGGTGAACCCAGCAGGTATTTTCTGCTGGGGCTCCTTTTCTGCTCTCCCTGAATTTTTGACAATTAACCAAAACAAGCACCAAGAATTTCATTACTATATATACACAGAATCGCTCTCAGTGTAAAGTTTACTTACACAGTCTTTCTCCAAACAGTAAAATTCCCTAAGGTAAAATAATAAAATGCTTATATAATTTAAGGCAAAAATTAAATGTTAAATCATTTCACTTAAAACAACAGTGACAGTAATCACATTTAATCTGAAGTCCAGTTTTCTCAATTGAATATCATTCTTAGTGAAACCATTTTAATTTTTTTCTGCCAGCTTTTAAAATCCCGAATGATTTGTTACATAACTCAGCATAAATATCTTCACCTTTTTCAGACTAACACTATTCCCAAGAAAACTGTTTTTAAGACCACACATCTTCCATGAGTATTACGTAGTCCCCACAGCATGAAAGACATTTGTTCATATCTTGCTTTGGAAATAAACAGGGTATAAAATGGAATCAATTCTTTCTCCCTTCCCATCCAAACTAAATAGTTTGCCTTTATTCTGCTTAAACAAAAGACTTATAACATTTCCCTTACGTTAGCTAATACAGGAATTATAATTCCACTTGATTAACCATTTTATTCTGAAATAAGATTGGAATTTTCATTACAGTCAACAAGTAAAATTAAGTATCTGAACTGTATGAGTCAGTACCTACCAAAGACAATTTTTATAAGGTATTAAGCCAATAGGCAAACTTCAAAAACAGTTGTAAGAAAAAAAATGTGTATGTATATATACAAATATATGTATGTAAAATAGTTCATGATTTTATTTTCTTACCCTATTTGTTACTGAAGGAATAGATTTATAATATTAAATGGAGGTCAGATTTAACTGTCCCCCGTCCTAATTCTGAAGTAAAATATAAACAAAAAAGCAAAATTAAAGACAGTTATTTGGACATTTGCTTTTGAAACTAAAAGATACTTGGACAAGCCCTGGCTGGTGAGTGGGAGGCGGGGCCAGGCCGTCCCGGCGTCCGGGGGACGAAGGCAACCATACATTGATGTTTCTCTCCCTCTCTCCTTCCCCCACTTCCCCTCTAAAGATAAATAAATAATAAAATATTAAAAAAAAAAAAAAAAAAAGATACTTGGACAAGATCTGAACGTGAACCTAAAATGAACAGCAAGACAGCAGTGCCTCCCGACAGTAGTGAGAGGCTCAGGGGAACTCCTGCAGGTGTCTTACGTGCTTTTGGGTCAGCGCACACCATAGGTCAAGCACATGAAGAGCATAAGTCCACTGCCACTCTGTTCCCAAAGTACTAGCACATCCCACCAACCAAACTGCTAAGGAATAGTTACTGCCTTTATTTCTTTCACTGTCGAAAACTCCTGCATTCATTTGCTGCCATCCATAGTCTGTTCCTAAATATCACAAAAGCATAAGCCAAGATATCATTTTACAAAGAACTAGCTAAAGAAATGACTAACAATGTAGACTTGTGCCCCAAATGTTTCACACCACAGGTGGTAGCTATTTAGATAGCTCAGTTTCAATGAATTAAAAACTAATTGTTACATTCTCCCTTAAAAAGACCACAGTCTGAGAATATTAACTAAGACTGAGGACCAGAAGAACACTGCCCATTTCACCCTAGAAATGCAGTTTTCTTTGTTCCAATACACTGAGCAACCGAAAATAGCACAGGTGTTTATTTACAGTCCTCCAATGTGCTTATGGCCCAAGGTCATTGAAATCAACTCAAAGACAAGATATGATCACTGCTTGCAAATTTCACAGAGGCAGATTCACCATGGGTATGTAGCACTAATTAAAAAAAAAAAAAGCTTCTACAACAGGGACGATACAAGAAGGGAATGGAGAACAGGCAGAGGGACTCAACAGCCTCCTCTTGGCTAGTCATACCAAGAAAAAAGTTTAAGAAACAGGTCTTCAAGTGGTACAATAGAGAGAAGCCAATATCCACCCCACCACCAAACAACTGCAAGAATCCTCCCACCAAAAATAACAAATAATGTTCAGGGTCTTATTCTTCCAGCACTGGACTAAAAAACTAAAGTCTAGTAAGAGGAGTGTCTGTGCGGAACAAAGTTACAAAAGCACCTGATTTCTGTATTGAGTCCCTTTCCCCAGAGCACCCTTGCCCAACACTACACAGTTAATGGAGGCACCTTGCCAAATTTAGTTCCTTTAATATTTTGCTTTTCAAGCTGCAACCACACCTAGACCATCTTCTCTGTAATCCACAGAAGACCCAAGACAAATATAATCTCTCTAATTAGTCATTTCATTAATCTGGGGACCCAGATTAAAGATTCAATTATGCCTATTTCTCAAGATAGAAGACTTCCACACACTTTATATGTTTTTTAAAATTTATGTTTCTTTGTACAGTACTTTATGTTAATCTCTGAGCAACTAAGCTCACAAAAGCCAGCCTTTCAAGTCCACTCCCATGCATGAGAGGTAGCTTTCCTGTTCGCTAGCTGTATATGGACTACTTCGTATTTCAATAGTAAATGCTACTGTTTGTCACAGGCAACCAGATGGAAAAGGACGGATCACCATTCAGGACAAATGTACAGCTACCACGTGAAGTGACTGTGGCTCTGTGCACTCTGGGTTCCGTGCCTATAAGGAAGAAGTGCACTCCAGTGTGGCTGCAGTTGACAAGTATCAGCACAGGAAATATGAGACTCTCAAACACTGATCTTTTAAGTGAGAAAATTTACTTCAGATTCACTGGATTGCTTGGCAACCATACTTGGGAAAAAAATAACTTTAACCCTACTTGGGAGAACACACCTGGTAATCGCCCCTCTGCCCGGACTAGGCAATGCTCACATTTCTAGCCTAGGACATCATATAGCAGCACTCACTGATCTTCTACAATTTCTTCCTTATGCTCTCTTTGCCCAGCAACTATACCTATCTTCTCCCTTCGGGCCGCTTTTACTTTAAGTAATAACCTACCGTGTTTCTTGAAACTGCAATCCAGATCTCTGCTCTGGAAGAAAGCATGGGCAAAGCCATCCTGGCCGTCTGCAACCTGCTGTCTTTATCACACAGGAGTTCAGACTCCAGGAGTAACTCAATTCCAGTAAAAAAGCATGCTGAGAAAGCCCACCATAATCTCACTTTTAGAATTTTTGGCAGCTATACAAATGTACTTTTAAAGTCTCAGAATACAAAATAAGGAACTCCAGAGCTAGGCTTTCCCAAGCTATCAGGAATATGGTTTAACAAAGCTGTTATTTTACTGACACCTGTTTACCTAGAAACCGGTACTTAATGGTAAAGGATGTTAACACCTTCAGACAAAGTAAGAGTTTGTCTTGTTTAGCTTTAATCTAACACTACAGCAATAAATAAGCCTCTTTTCCAGGCTAGAAAATCATCCGAGTCAAAATTACTAGGTAACAATTACTTTTCTTCAATCACAAAAATGTTAATGAATATAACCTTAAAATTATGATTAATATGCAAAGAAAATACTGTCTCAGAATAAATGAGACAATAGATGGCAATCA